ATAACCGAGGTATAAATTATTACCAGAGTATGATATTACCATGCTCAAATGACAAATACTGTCAGCTAAAATACGGTTCGGACGAAATATGTGTCGGCTAAAATACAGCGCGGACGAAATATGTATCGGCTAAAATAAATTTTAAATCACGCATGGTACGACACAGAACCACGGTTGTTTGTCGGTGTTCGTCTAAAATGTCTAAAATGAGAAGCCGGATTCCGGCTTTACATTTTTGTTATATACCTATATATATTTTGGTATGATAAAATTTATCATAACAATTTTAATATGCTTTCATCACGGTTTATAATGAATTTTTACCATTATGGGACTTAAGTATAACACGATTAACGGGAGGGGGTGTTACTACACCTGTAACACGCCCCCTGGCTACGCGACTGTTTTTTGTAGAACAACTTTGTTATCCACCAACGTCTTTGCCAAGGTTTTTTTTTTATTTTTTTGTGTTAACAACTAGTGAATAATTATAAATGCTGCGGCTTTTTTTTTTTTTGGAATTCAATCTCATTCACAACTACTGAGCTTTTTAAAAATAAACTAAAAAATATACTTAAGCCGCAGGTACGCACTACACAGTCACCAATAAGTACCTACAGAATGTTACTACTATAGATTGTTTTGTTATTTTGCGCCGCAACGTCTGAGCATCAAAATACAACGCATAACGCACAATTACAGTTAAAAAATGTACCTAATTTTCGACGAACAATTGTGCGTCAAGATTAAAATACAACGCACACACAAATTTGCTCTAATGTGGACGGACCTTAAAATATATCCTAATTATAAACGCCTTATATATTTTTGGCTTGATTCTCGGGATCCAACCTGTATACCATTTGTTAAATTTTAAAGATAACAGGTAATATGTCGAACACACGAACTTGAATTTGATTCGGTTTTTTTTTACTGGGTTATAATAAGTTAATTATTTATTTTAAGTTTATTTAATTATAATAAGTTTTTTTTAACAGGACATATAGATACACTTTTTGATAAATTTTAATTTTTAACTAATTTTTGTCAATTTTCATGCAAAAACTTATTATAATATAACAGCTACAATTGACTTCAAAGGTTCAAATCATCAGAAGCTATCTGAGAAACATATATATGATATTCAAAGAAAATATATTCATTTAAACTAATATACCACAATATTAAATAAAAAATGTAAGTTATAGTTATTTAATTATTTATACATGAAAATGTATTGAATATACCTACACGTTTTGTTAAGATAGGGTTCAAAATTATAGAAGGCTTGAAGTACAAGTCTGTGTACGCCTATGGTATGGCTTGTAATCAAAGTGTATTTCATATTAATTTAATACAGATATTAATATTATATTCACCCTAATATTTTAAATTAAAGATAGTATAGGCAGCGTTATAGTATAAAAACTGTTAATATGTGTGGTATTTTTAATCATAAATTTTATACATAACTACAATTATAGGATATATCAAGAATCCATGAATAAAAAAAAATGATCAATAAAGAAATCAAAAAATAACTACTGCGAACCACTAAAAAAGTGTACTCATATTTATCTTCTGTGTAATATAAATATCTCACCAGTAAAACAAGATTAAGCACGTTTATACTCCACCACATGTATTTAAATAAAATATCTAAGTATTTATTTTTGTTCACATATTTTGACGAATTGTTTATTAGCATAACACGTTTTCTTTTTTTATGTATTTTATTTTATGTATATTTGATATAGCAGTAAACACTTTTTTATGTAAGCATATTACTTTTAACTTATATTTTAAGTATAATCTACTTATAACGTCTTAGATTTAAGTAGGTATTGATCAGATCGGTGGTTTCAAGCATATTTTATACGTGTGCGTCAAGGATATAACTTTAAAAAAAACCTTTGTTGTATTGTAACTCTATCATAACTAATATCCGGGACTCGACGTGTTAATACTATATTATGTTATCAGCAGCATTGTAACCAAACGTCGGCCATTGTTGTTTCATCTTCGAACAATCATGTGAATGATATTTCGTTATATCTTAGTATTCCATGTGTATAGTTAATGATAAATTATATTTCAGGGATTTCTGTTAATTTTTTTTTATCATGTCTATTGCATTATAAACAGCGAAATACCTTTAGTTGTCAAATAATAATTTGTTTTTAATATCATTCATTCCTAATATATTTTTTATATGAAAATGTTAAATATTAAAATACTTAGTCAATAGACTGATAAGATCCTTGTATATATATATATATTGGTCATATTACCTAATTAATGTACGCATAAATTAAGTACTGAAAATATTTTGAGTACTTTCCGCGTCGCTCAGTTGTAAACACGTAATTGATATTATATGCCATTATGATATTGTGTTTTTTGTCTAGAAGGTTAAAATATTAAAAACCCATTTAGAAAATTGTATAACCGAAGAAGTTGATTTTTTTCGTTTAACTGTCATGACGTACAATTGTATTATAGCGGTTTTGATGTATAATATATAAACTAGAAAATTTCAATTTTGTAAAAACCACTGAGTTACATCATTGATTTTTATGTTGTTTAAGGCACATATAAAACTGTGTAACAATATTGTGGTATTTACGTATAGAATCATTTAAATTAGAACAAATCAATAACTGTACTTCCATATAAGTATATAGAACCCGATGATATCAATATTTTTAATTAAAACATATTAACCTCGCCCTTCCTACTGAGGAAAAATTGGGCGCACGCCTTAATTTAGAATCACAGTTTATCTTCTGCACATAATATATTTTAAATATTGCCATCGAAAGACATCCGGTATCTATTGGTTTTAATTTAAAATGTAGTCAACACATTTCATGTAATTTATGTGGTTTCGTTGGAAAGTTACCCGTAGGCAAGTATTTGAAGATTAAATTTTGCATATTTGTTATTTTTGCTACGATTTAATTAATGATGAAACCAAGCCCATAGTGGCTGCTCTTATGGAGCGATCTCGAAAAAATTTAAGGGTGCCTTAATTTTTATTATTTAATTATTTAGGTTAAGGTCCAATAGATTACAGACTAAAGAATCTTAATTTTGCTAGCTTCTTCGTACTAAAAATAAATGAATGAAATAAATATAGTTATCTTGATATATATACATTTTTGTTTTTTTTACAGTTAATAAATATATTTTTACATTATAGTAAAATTATAAATTCAGATTTATTATAATTTAGAGTGAAATTAATCAATTTACTCGTATTTTTTCACAACAGTATCAATTCAATGATCTCTACCCAAACCACAAGGTGCAAAATTTACTTACAAATAAGTCGTATGAATCGATACTGTTTTCAAGGATTGAAAGCTTCTTAGATAATCGGTCTCACCTTAGCAAAAGTTTTATCACATTTTTTCAAACACAATTTATTTTTATTTAGTCTTTTTATAATTAGTGCTTTGTAAACCAACAAAAATCATATACATATTGAGAATTGATAGCATTTATCAATATAAGTGGCATACTGCCAATAACTAACATGTAATTATATTACCAAAATATTATAACGTTATATAATACTATAATTACCATAATTATATAATACGTTATATAACTTTACCTGGTAGGTAATTGATATAATATAATACTCGTAATATGTTTTTTAACAAAAAAAATGTAAAAAAAAACATATTTATATATATTTTTTCGGCTGTTATAATTATTTTCGTATGAAATCTAAATGAATTTATATATACTTTATTGACCAAAGACACAATGAGTGAATTGTAAATAGGTGATAGACACTATAAATTAGCGATTTTCTGGTGAAATTTGAAAAATAATAAACATTTATTTAACGTAACCTGTAAAAATTATCATAAAAAAAAATTCAAATAAAAAGTTTAAGCTTATTACAACAATTTTTCGTTTTATTTTGAACATATCATAAATTAAATTTTTTTATTTTTATAACTGTGAAAAAGTTTGAAAAATAGTATATAAAATTAAAAAATATATAAATATTAAAATATGCTAAATTATTGTACATTTCTGTATTTAGACTACATACGCTGGGTTTGTTTAACACAACAGTATTTATTCAAGTATTTAAGCTTTTAAATACAATAAATACATTCTATTGTTTTGTCTCATCATTTGCAATATTTGTTGAATATATTTGAGAAATGTACATATATACTTCTCGTACATAAAAATGCAATCATGAGAACACAACTATCTTATACTAAATACAACATCGAGAAAAAAAGTATTCTATATAATATTTTATTAACTATTCTGAGTACTATTTTTACTATTTTAAGTTCAATAACACCTAATATTTTAATAACCTGGTTTCAAAGCACTTATATCTTAATAAAAATAATATTTGTATCAAATTTATTGATAATACATAGAAATTAAATTAATTTGGAAATCGAGATTTTTTTACATAATGTATTAAAATAGATCTTAGTTAAATTCACCTCATAAGAACATATTTTACTCTATAACTTTTATAATTTCCATATTTATAAAAGAAAACTTCGGAAAACATAGGAATAGGCAATATCACTATACAAATAACGCTTTGCCTCTATACGTCATTTATTTTCAATAAACATTCAAAATGATTTTAATTATTTATTAAATCATCCAACAACAGTAAGTACTATTTTTGTTTATTAATAATTTCTATTTAAAATGTATTTATATTTTAAAAATATAACTATTAAAATGTATTTCAACACTAATAATAGTTAGTTCTTGTTTGCTGTTAACATTCATATTGAATTATGTAATAGTTTAAAATAAATATAATTTGTAATCGACTACGGGTAATTGATTGACAAGTAGCAATGATAGTAGAATACTAAGTATTATGACAATGCTTAGTGAGCAGTTATATTATTAAAAAGTTATTGACTATGGATTTCGTAAATTTAAAATATTGATTATATTTTAAATTCATGAAATACATTTTTAAAAACTTGATACACGATTTTAATCAATATTTTGACATACATTTTTTTATGGAGGTTAATACGATTTTGTATAAAATTGGATAATCACGTGCTATTTTGAGTTATTATTGACTATAATAATATAGTAACGGTTAATAATATGGTGCATCACTTTTACTTGTTTATAAATATGTGAACAACGTTTGATTTTAAAATGAACAACCTAAAAATATCTATACACTCAATAATATTGCTACACCAGCTAAAATCCATTTTGATGGTTTCTGCCGTGTTTTCAAATTAAACGTCCACACGTACGTCGGGCCTCTTTGTTTAATCTTGTACACGGGGCATTCATAAAAGTTTCTCAAATCTTGTTTATCTTTAATAATGGCTCTTACGTGTATGACCGGCATTATTGGAAACAATTCTTTCAGGATTGAATCTACGATACAACCCATAGACAAGTCCCAACGAGCGCCTTCTAATATCAATCCATTTATCATAGCGCCTTCTCTGGGTGATATCCTAAAAACCCCACGAAACACTTGAATATATGAGTACAGTATACATTTCATTGTAGTACGTCATAAACTACACAATGATATCAATATGTTTAGTTATTTAAATTTTGTGACTGTCTATGTTCACTCACATGATATCTTCTTTGTATTTTTTTGTCACATCGCAATGTAAGCACATTTTATCTAACGGCCATTCCAGTTTGCGAGCGGTGTTTTGCATTATAGCGGTTAAAAATGATTGCGGATTAAAAAATCCGCCCAGCCATACAGATGGTGGAAGCTTGGACAATAATGAAATTAATTGATTATTTTTATAAAAATTTAGTATCTAATATGATTTAATTTTGTAGGTTATTATGCGTTGTATACTTTAACGACTTACTTGGAATTCGCTAACCCAAGATTCCAACTCACGCAATCGTTTCAGTAAATCTGCATACCAAGCCGCCAAGGGCAACAAGGATGGATAAGCTCGCTTTTCCCAGTTTGGTGGAACTCTATCCATAAACAAACATTCTTCCAAAGCCTCCATGTCTGCTGTTATTGTTAGTTCACCCTATGTTTTAGAAAATATTATTATTCATATAACACGTATTCAATTATAACAAAAAAATACATTAAAATATATTTATTTTAATGAGAATTAAAAATGGTTTTTAATACAGTATAAGAGTAAAATAATTTGCACATGTTTAACTATATTTCTAGTTTGTTGTGAATATACACTATATGTACTACAATGGGCATTTAATACCTTGAGTCCCAAGTGGAGTTCTTTTAAGGTTCGTCTGATTTCATCCATTAACACATTCATACGCTCACATTCCTGAAACGAAACGATAACGTATGGTGTTCGTTCTTCAACCCTACTCATCATGTCTATAATGTTAAAAGGCTCAGGAACTTTATCAATTATATCATCCAACGTTTGTCTAACCTAGAAAATATCATAAAACATTCAAAGTAAGAATTTAAATGAAAATACGTGTTATACATTAATAATTTTGTATTTACTTTTTCGTCCCTAGATATTCCTGTTCCACCGGACGTAACTGCGTCCCTAGGCTGCATTTCCATTAGAGTTTGGAATAAATTTTCGGATCTTGTAGTAAGTGTACCAATCTCAGCGTTTGGGTGAAGTCCATACAATGTAGGACTCTCAGGGGGTAATAAATCATCTACATACTTGTGGAATGACTTATAGTCGATATTCGGTGGAGCCGTAAAATTAGGTGCAAATAAAAGATCTCCTTCGAACTATAAATTATTATAACAAGAATTAAACAAACCGGTATAAATATGTCTTAACAATAGGAATACTACCAGATCTGGATTTATATAGACTTCGAGATATGTTCTACACAACCTTCTATCCCAATCGTCGGTAATATGTCCTCCATACATAATTTCTCCAAAAAGATATCTTAAATCTTCCCAAGGAACTTTATTATTTGCCTCTAGGTAGTTGTATAAAACGTTCACGGAAATTGTTAAATCACCTACATTAAACGGATACGATCTGTTCCACCCTTGAGCACCAAACTTTGATCTTTCTTGTACGGAAGCATGGAAATAACAAAGGCTAAATAAAATTGCTTTAAATTCCGATTCTTTCGTGCACATTTCAAGGGTATCTTGATTGAAATTGTCTAATGCTTTGTGTAAATTAGCCATCATTCCTGTTGGTGGTTCATTAGTAATTTTGATAGACGAATCCAAAACACCCTAAAATATGATAATATTTTTAAATTCAAATAACAAACTTATATTTCACAAAAAATAAAATACTTGGGGTATAATATGATAAAATGGATCATTAGCTGGTTCAGCACTTATAAAAATTCTATAATTTTCATGAGGATTTTCAAAAGATGCTTCCATTTTTTTATCCAACGATGGCAACCATTTTTCAACCAGATGGACGTTCTTTTAAACATTAATAATTATATATTATTATATATAATAATTCCTTAGAATTTCATATTTACTTGTAACATAACCCAATGACCCATTCTAGAACTACATTTTATAGCTTTTTCTGCTAATTTTTCTTGCCCCTGTCCCAAGGATATATTATGAAAATTTTTTTTTTCAATTGTAAATCCTTTTTTTTTACCAATAGCTTCAACGTCCTATAACATTTTACATAAAAAAAGTAATATTTTGGGCTTATACTGTTATAAAAATATAACTGAAAACATTTAAATTTATTTTCTTTAATAACATTTTAATATTTCGATAATATTTACTCGTGTCGGATCAACTCCAGCTGATAATATGAAAAACACAGGTGTTGTTGACGTAGTTTCTTTAAATGATTCAGAAAATTCTGGAGGTCTAAAGTTTGTGTACTTAACTCCAAGAACTTCTCGGACATATTCCTTAGTTGCATATGTCATTCGATCAGTTCTTAATGCTCTAATGATACAAAGTCTTTGAAATGGGGTTTTATTTTTCCATTCTTGTGGTAGCTTATCATTTTCAGGAGCTTCACTGTTAATGTATAACTGCCATCGTTTACCAGATGCCTCAATTCCTTTATCCAAACCACTTTAATTAAAGATTATATTATAAATAATTATAAATATTATATATTATAAAAAAAGCTTTATAATTTTTTTTACGCAAATTCATCATCAACCAAAACCAGTGACTTGATGGCTCCCCAGACATTCGGTGAAATAAACTCGAATGGACTCATTGATCCAACGAATACAGGTCTTCTTAATATATAATCCAACTCAGTCGATTTTATTTGTTGTGCATGCAATTGTATCTAAAATTGTATTAATATTTGTATTATGAATGTTTGTTAAATTAAAATGCATTAAATGTATGGTATAAATTAAGGCTGGACGTTAACGAGGTAAATGTTAAAATTAGGTTAATTTTAATTAAATTAATTAACTCATTAATTATTTTACAAATTAATTTTTAACTTAATAAGTTACTTTTTTTTAAGATTAACGTGTTAACTTTAAGTTAATTTTATTTAAAAGTATCTAAATTAAGTTAATTTTAGTGCAAAAAATAATGCAAATTATTAAATGAGGTTTTTAGTATATTTATAATTTATTATTTTAATAACAATTTCTTGTAGACGAAAATAATAAGAAAAATAACTTTAATAGTCATTATATTTTTATAACATTGTTATTATATAAATGCTATAAACCCATGGAAATCCTAAGAATATTCTGTAAAAATAGTAAATATCATGAGAGCGAGTGTCGATGGGGGATTAATCATAAAACCACTGTGATATGATTTCCAATTTAATTTTATTGTTAAAATTATAAATTGATTTAAATATGAGTTCAGGACTAAGATTTATTTTAGAAAAGTAGATTTTTTTGATAGCTAGTTAATACTTTTATGTATTATTTTAAAATTCCCCAGTAATTTTCTTGAGTGTAAAAAAACTAATATTATGTGTGCAATTTTTTATTTTTACAAATTAGGAAATTTTAACTTTAAGCTAAGTTACTTTTTTTTTTCAAATTTAACTTTTAACTTGAGTTAAAAAAAATCGTTAACTTACCCAGCCTTGATATAAATTAGTATCTATTTTACAATAAATACCTGAATAGTCATTTGACAAATAAATATTAGTTTATCCTTTTCAAATAAACCTCTACTTGTATAAATAAATGATTTATAAGTTATATTTTCTATTAAATTAACAATGCGTTTACTTAAAGTATCTGCTTTTTCTGCATTTCTCATAGCTCGTTGAAATACAATGCTAAAAGCCTACAGAAACACATAGATATTAAATATTTATTTTAATTTTTACAATTTATAAAATCAAAAATGGTTTGTATTTTAGTAACATATCCAGGGACGGCCTTAGTGATTTTTATACCTAGGCAAATCTTAATTTTGCCGCACCTGTGGAAAAGTAATATTTCTTCCAAATAAATAGTAGATAATTTTTTTTTTTTATATGAGTATCACATATTCATGATATATTAGGTAAAATTACATACATTTAAAATATTTAAAACAAAATGTTTATTAATTTAACTTTAACTTAAAAATGTAATATTTTTGCTGTTAAAGATCTTTGACGAAATCATCAATTTTTAAGTCTTCAGCGACTTCATGTTCTATTGAAATTTTTGCTAGTCCTATCAAACGGTTTTGTGAAATTGTTGAACGTAAATAGTTATTAATAATTTTTAATTTAGGAAAGCTTCTTTCAGCTGAATCTGCAGTTACTGGTATTGTTAGCAAAATTATAATATGAGGTAATTATTAATTACCGATGCCGTCGCTAAAATATAATATTAATAGTCTCTTTTACCGGCGACTGTTATTGGTTTTCGTTCGTATTAGAAAATTTGATATAATTAAAATTATAATTACTAACTGGGAAAATTATTATTATTATAATTTTACATGTACAATATAATGAACATATTCAATCAAATTACTAACTCTTAGTTATAATTATTTATTTAATTTTTAGCTGTTGGGAGTGGCAGTGTTTTTAAGCTCGGGACTTGTTTCTGTGATGGCGTCAAACTAGTAAACAATGTAGCTAACACTGGAGAGATAAAGCGATAAATATTCATTAATATTACGTTTACATTGTTTGTTTACAATATATTATTAAACGTTTTCGGTTTGTATGTATTTAAAGATAAAAGTTTATCTCTGTATCTGTCACCGACCATTTTGATTGTACTAAAAATATACATGCCCTACCTATATAACTAATACTATGCGTCACAATAATTGTTGTATATAATGTATGATATTTCATAATATGTTATAAATAAATCGTGAAAAAATATATAAATTGTTTTCTTTATATCAAAAAATGTTGCCTCTTTAAAAAGTGTTCTCAATGCCGCCGTAGGCTTATACCTTCATCGCCTACGCTTTAAGCCATCCCTGAACATATCAATATGCAAACTAACATACATACTAACATACAATAATAATAATTGTTTAATTTTAAGTTATTGCTCAATATAACATTGAATAATTTACCTCTAGAGAGAATTGATACATTGGATTTATTTTGATCAAATCACTCATTATGAAATAAATTATCGATGCTCGCGTCGCGGCAACGCGATATTCTTCTCTAGCAGAATCTATTTCTTTTGATGTAATTTTCGCTTCAGCAACTTTTAACTCAATTTCTGTGGCAGTTTTTTTGGACTTTTCGAGGTTCAAAACTAGTTCTTTGTCGCCTAGTATCTGATCACCATCAGCTGAGGATAGTCTATGTAATAAGTCATCTTCAAGTTGTTTTAATGTTATTTTAAAGCTATTTTGTTGTTTGGTTAGCTCTATTCTCATTTTTTCTAAATCTGGTCTTTCGACCTTTACTACTTCCGCCAATAACTGATCTTCAAGTTGATCACGGTTTACTGTGAAGTTAATTAAAGTAGTCTGGGCTTGCGTTTCTGGTTTGTAATGTGGGTTTGATAGTTTTGTATGCAATATAAGACGAAAATTTGGATTAAAATCGATTTCCTCTTCACCAATTTTCACAGCACTGAAAATTATATATACTTTTTTAAATTCATCGTTTTATTATGTCACCCAGTTTGAATCTCAATATTCATTCAAAGCAATTGTGTATACAATATGAATATAATAGAGACGTATTAAATCTCTAATTAAAGCATACCATTTTATTGAACATTTAAAAATTACATGATTTGTAATAATTCAATGCAATTTTAATACATAAATGAATAAAGTTAATAAATCGATTAATATGAAGGTTAAAAGACTATAATAAAAGGGCCAATTCTGTATGTAATGGTTACACTAGCTACCAAGGACTAATGTTGAGCCCAGATAAAAACTCTTTAATCTATACTCACGTTCAAAAGAGATTATTGACTGAGGGCTATGTGCCGTAACAAGGCTAATTTCTATCATTATCGCCAAAACGAGGCGTCGATCACGCACGACGGTCTCCGATAAAAATTTCCGATAAGTGGTTTCAATTTAATTGCTTATAATACATTGAATAATTATTGTTATATCTGATCGGCGCGAACGGTCGCGCTGTTTTTATACGGGTTATAATTAGCTCATGGCGGGAGCAGATTCATCGCGACTGTCGATGTTTGGTGAGGGTGCGCGCCGTCGAACGAAAATCGGTCGCAAAAACGGTATGTTCTATTTTGAAACGGGGTGTAGATAAAAATAGCATATCAAAAGTCTATTAAAATACAGATAAAAATAAGATAAACTAAAATTATCTTTTTAAAAGATCAAATATAATTATAATTCTTCTAGATAAAAAGCAGATAAAATTTTAAAAAAATAATATTTTTATACTAAATTGTCAAAAACAAAAAACTATCAGACCTATTACGAAAAATAAACATTTTATATTTATTTGAGGTATTTAAAATTGAAACACATTTTAAATACTTCAAATATATACAAAATGTTTATTTTTCTTTAAAGGGGTGCGACCCATATACGCTTCCTTGCAGTGCACCCTGGTTACGGTTGATGAAAATTAGTATCATTGAACGGCTAAAGTATATGAAACCCTAGTCGGCGGACTGTGCTTTTTGCATCTCCTGCCATCTTTCATGCAAGCAAATAAACAGCGCACAAACCAAAACAGCCCTTTTAAGGGTTATTTGATGAAGGGTATCACACAAATTATGCAATTGAATATCAAAGGCTTCAGTAAATCTAAAGCAGAAGTACTAGAAAGAATCGCAATGGAACAAAAAATAGATATACTCGTTGTTCAGGAAACTCACACTGCCGATCAGAAACAATTATTGAAAAGAGGGCATATTACTGGATTTAAAATTGCAGGTGCTACTTTTCACAGCAAATATGGTACCGCTACCTACATACGAATAAAAAGTAACTTAAAATGGAATCATATCAGAACCTCTGAAGAAAAAAGTATCTAAACTATTGAGACTCAAGTTGGAAATCTATAAGTAACCAATATCAATAAACCTCCGAACGTTAAATGGCCTACTCCTGCACATCACTCACCTAATCACCTCACTAGTTACACTGGTAACTTTAATAGTCTGTGAAAAACACTATATGAGGATACCATGAAAATGACACTCAAGGAGAAGAACTTGCTGATTAGAGTGAAGCCGAGATTTTAGAATTAGGTTTCAACGTTAAACAAAGGGGAACGTTTCGATTTTCGATCAGCCAGGTGGAACAAGGATTTGTGCTTTATATCTACGGACCAAAATGGTACTACTCTACCAACTTCAAGAAAAGTTTTAATGGATCTCCTAAACAGCCAACATAGACCGGTTGTTATAGAAATCGGGTATCAAATCCCGACGATTATCTCTAGTCCCAAAGCAAGGTGGAATTTCTATAAAGCCAACTGGTCCTTGTTTACTAAAACTTAAGATGATAGCGTACGGTGGATCTCTCCTTGCATTGAAAATTATAAACGTTTTACAAAATTCAACAACACCGCAAAAAAGTGCATTCCTCATGGCTGTAGAAAAGACTACGTCCCTGGATGAAATGATGAATATGAAATACTATACACCTCTTTCAAACGTTCGAGTAATTACGACTATACAAATAAGACTATAGAAGCATATAATAATCAACGTCATGTAAGGTAGATAAAATTAATAGAAAAAACGGACTTCAAGCACTTAAGCCGTAAAGCTTGGTCACTCCTTCGTAGACTGGAATTTAACGGAGAGCCCAACTACTACTATCCACCGATAAAAGATAAGCCCCCTTCATATTAGAAGAAATAAACTCTGTGATAGCAAAAATAAGAACTGGAAAATCAGCCGGTAAAGACGAAATATTTCCTGAATTCTTTAAACACTGCGGAGTGCGTACTAGATCATGACTTGTAGCTTTCTTCAACAATATACTCGAGAATGGGAAAATGCCAGCAATATTCAAAAATACAAAAATAATATCAATATGCATTCTAAAGAAACCCACTGACTTTCCCCAAAAGTTACCGACTCATTGCATTATTAAGCGTAAGATACAAACTTCTTGAATGATTGATCTATAATCGCATTAGCCCAATTATTGATCAAGTGGTCCCCAAGGTACAAGCTGGATTTAGACCTCATTGAAGTTTCACAGACCAAGTAACAGCCTTAAATATATTTATAGAAAATGAATTTCAAAAGAATCTGTAAACTACAGCTGTACTAGTCGACCTCGCAGCTGCATACGACACAATCTGGAGAAAGGGCCTCCTTACAAATCTCATAGAAATATTTCCTTGTCTCAAATTACACAGATTATTGAACGAAATGCTCAGCAATCGTACATTTACAGTTTATCTAGGAGATAGCACTTCAAGACGGCTGAACGACAGGCTTTCCCAAGGGTCGATTCACGCACCAATCTTGTTTAATCTTTATATTAGTGATTTACCAATCACAACTTCACGGAAATTTATATACGCTGACGATATTACACTGGCTGTGAAAAATAATAAATTTGAAGTCACCGAAAAAGTATTATCAGAAAACCTAAGTATAATTTCAGCGTATCTACATAGTTGGCAACTCAAATCCAACATAAATAAAACTGTCGCTACAACCTTTCATTTAAATAACCATATGGCCAATTACAAACCCAAGGTTACATTTTGTGGTAGTACTCTCAAATATGATAAGACTCCTACATACCTAGGAGTAACACTAGATAGGTTAAAACATAAACACATATAGAAAAGACTATATCGAAGTTTAAAATCAGAAATAACAATATACAAAAACTAGCTGGATCATCCTGGGGAGCATGTGTGGTTACTTCCATACTAAGAATATCTACTCTGGCCCTAGTGTACTCAGCCGCAGAGTAAACCTGTCCAGTTTGACGTAACAGCTCTCACTACAACAAGATTGATGTCCAACTCAATCACTCTATGAGCATAATTTCTAGCACAGTAAAATTAACTCCATCACAGTGGCTTCCCGTCTTGCATAATGTCTATACGCCGTAAATCAACTTGTCATAGAGAATGGTCAAAATATGCTGAAAACCAATCCCTCCCAATTCATCAAGATACCACTCACAATGGTAGACTCAGGCTGAAATCCAGAAAACCTGCCCACATAAGTATGAGGGAATTTATCGCAGACCGCTACGACGACCTAGCTGATTAGAAATCGGAATGGGAAAATCTAATTCGGACTCTCACAATATATATAACCATTGGTAACCATTTACCTGGACATCAATTATCTCGATGTGAATGGGTCGTGTTAAACCGTCTTCATACTGAACATGGGTGCTGTAAAGAACTACCTACTCTACAAGTGGAAAATAGCAGATCTCTCAGATTGCGACTGCGGTCATACCTCTCAGATCATCCATCAGATACTAAAAGACTGTTCCATCCGCGCATTTAAAGGATCAATGCGGGAACTTCACGACGCTACAGATGAAGCAATTAATTGGATCAAAACCCTCGATATTTTAGTTTAAAGAAAAACGTACCACTATACTTTATACTTCTTTATATTTTTGACTTAACATTTTATATTTTAGCAATTTACAGTTACCATTCATATCTTTCAATTTTTAATATTATTAATTTTATTTGCTTGCTTGTACTTATATACCATACGATAATAATAATAATAATTTCTTTAGAATAATATAAATTAAAATAAGCGTTGGTAAGAGCGATCAGGCTGGAAAAACACTAGCGAGCGGTTATAGTTGGTGGATGGGCAATAGGCTTACTCGTTTGGCCATTTAGTGAGTCACGATATTTTATAATTTAATAATGTAAAATTAATGAAAAGAAAATTGCTCCACGTGGGTCATAAGATTTATTTATATGAAGATTTTAATTTTGTAGTAAGAAATATTAGATGATAACGACGTTAATTATAAATTGTTATCCATCAATTAATATAGTTAAATCAAGATGAATCACCTACCAATAAGCTATAAAAAAATCAAAAGCAAAGAGATTGGCACTTGCAACCAACAAAAATATAAAGAAAAAAGCCAGAGTCAGTAAAGGAGTTTGAGTATAAATATCGGTAGGAAACAAATAAAATATACTCGGATTAGTCTAATGAAATTATTTTTGAAATTTACAATAAAATCTGCAATGTTAATATACTACTGAAGACATATATATTAATAATATTAATAATATATCGTATTACCTTCCTTTTTTTATCAAATTTCGACCGATTATGTTATCTAAAATAGGATCGATATTTTCACCGATATTCTCAATCAAAAGAACGTGTCCGTTTCTAACGCAATTTTCAATATCTATCACATAATTCTTGTAATTCAGTCTGGTTACTTTTAAACTTTTTCCATATTTAGTCTTAATCCATTTAATTCCTTGAAGCTAAAATTAAATATAAAATTTTTATTCGATTTTTTTTTTCAAAAATCTTATAGATACCTGAGGATCGACCATTAATGGCCATCGATCAGAATTGGTTAAAATTGTTGCATTTTCAGACGACATACGATCATTTGGTAATCCTTCGTTATTCCAAGTTGCAATTTGTGTGTCGTCAGTAAGCAAAGCAAGTGGATCTAAATTGTCTGTTATTGGTATTTCTGGCTGAAATGTTCATAACTTGGTGAAACAAATTTAAGACTTTTATTTATTAATCAATAAATGACATATAACTACACCTTAACTCCTTTGAAAAATGGTAGCCAGGAATTTTGAATTAGTTCTTGTCGATATATTTTTGTAAAGTAACCAACGTATGAAACAAAAGCTGAAACCATGAGAATGTCTCCCGGTAAAGTTTGTAAATTTTTTTGTAATCTAAAATAGAATATAATACAATTTATTCGTATTCGTATTTCTTATCCAATTAACTGTAAGACTAAAATAATTTACATAGAAACGCTTTCTTTCCACCGCACATTTTCTGAGGCTAAGCCATTAACGAGACGGTTTGCCAAATCTATCCTCATGGCAGTTTCATCCGCTTGTTTTTGACATTTGGTCTTTTCAGCTACTGCATCATCAAACTCGTCCGTTAAAATTTTTTGTTTTCTTTCCAATTCCTAAAATTGCATGGAACGTTAAAATATATTATTATTTATCAATTATTATTTACATTAATCATATTCCTAAGCTCCATTAGTTTTGATCTGGCAGCACTTAAGTCTTCATTTGCCTGATCCCGTGCTTTTCTTTTTGGTTCAACAACTTGCCATACATTATTAAACTTCATTATATTGATAACCCATGCACATAAACCTTAAATATAATAAATAAATGTCAACAATGTATTAAAATTAATGTATTTATTAAATGTTTCGAATACAAGTCAAAATCTTATTATTAATAATTTTTTTTTTTTTATCAATTACAAATTAATTAGATATACTTATTGATTTTTAGATCAGGAAATTATTGAAATTAAGCAATAAAAAAAAATTTCATAACAAAATTGTATGGAAGTTATTTTAACCCATAAGGGTCAAATAGGGTCAAATAGAGCAATATGACTCCTAAATTAATTTCGTAAGTTAATGTTTACGTAACAGTTAATATACCTAAATATTGACAGCTTAACTATGCATATCGTAATACTACTTACATTAATAACATCGATGATAATTTTGAAAATTATTAAATATGCCACTAATTGTATTTTAATTTTTACTTACTTCCAGCAGCCGAAGACTTTCCACGAATAAGTTCAGGATCGAATTCAGGATCTTTCAAATAAGGTTGAATGGCTTTGACTACATCAGGGTGTATATGTTCTTTATCATAATTTTTAAGTGAATCTAGAAATCCATCAACTTTAGCCATCATTACCTGAAATAAAACATAAGACATTATTTTTATAATTTTGTACGGAAAATGAAATATTGTCAATAGCATAATAATATAATAACGTAATAAAATAAATATTGTAACATTAATGAACAATTAAATACATTTTGACAGGTACTCGAAGAAATATTTTTGTTTTTAAGTAAGTATATATAAATATAATTACGTGTTCTCAAATATGAATGCATACACAATTGAATGTTTCAAATTTTCCAAGTATTATATTTATATAAGATTTTTTAATATATTTATTATATAATCCAATTAAAATTAAAATAACATAATATGCCAATTGGTTAATATTAATAGATTAAATAAATATAATGAAAATAGTAATGTCAGAAACTAAAATATAATCTTAGTAAGATAGTAAATTTATCAAAATAAGAGTTACAACGATATGACAAGAATTTATGTTTCTGATTTTGGATTCAATGGAGTATGGACATGGGTAATTAAAAAGATATGATACTCTTGGAAAGTAATATTCAGGTAAATCCGAGTCATTGCAATAATCGAAAAATGTATAGTAATCATTAAAATTACAAAATTTAATAATTAGAAAGATTCCCTTGGTGATAGTCGTAAAAGTTTAATGTTATACAAATAATATAAAACAATCATAGTCATCCCAAAAGGAGAAGAAAATAGAGCAAATACCCTAGGGCGTCCAAAGTATTGTGAATTTATTGTAATTATAACTTTTTTTTTTTTTTGTTTTTATTTGTTTTATTACACAATCTGTAAATATATTATTTTTACAATAAGTGTAAGTATTGTAATAGATTTATATAAGAAGACTGGAAACTTGAGCGAAGAACCCATCCAGTGATGGGACTTCTTTGGAGTTGCGGATGGGTTTTATTCAGTCAGGAGGTCCCGACACCATTTTCGTTTCAAACGTCGTCCAGGGTCACCTGGAATGCTGGGGGTGGATAAGTTTGAGATTAGAGGATTACGGTGGTTGGAGAGATTTGAGTGGAATCGTTTATACAGAGTTTTGGCTACGAGTTGAACTGTTGGAATAGACAGGTCCTTGTGGAGTATATCGTTTGAGACGTAAAAGGGGGCTTAGGTAATTTGTCGAAGGCATTTAGATTGGAATATTTGAATTTTATTTATGTTAGATGGTTTGGCTGAACCCCAAAGTTGTATACCATATGACCATACGGGCTTTAGTAGCAGTTTATATATAAGTATTTTGTTGTTCAGATTGATGTGTTTAGATGTAAGGAGTAGACGTAGCTGACGGGATCGGTTATTCAAGGCAATACGTTTGGTATGGATGTGGTGGGCCCAGGTCAATCGACGATCCAGGTGGAGTCCAAGGTACCGGACATTTTGTGTGGGTGGAATGGGTATGTTATTGAGGGTTATGGTAGGGCAGTTTCTAGGCCTTAGAGTGAATGTGCAGTGGGCTGATTTTGATTCGTTTATTTTTATCCCCCAATCTCTGTACCAGTTTTGGAGGAGATTTAAATGGACTTGAACGTGGTTGGAGGCTATTTCAGGGTCTGAGTTAAGCACCATAATAGCTTTGTCATCGGCAAAGTCACCTGTGATCGTATGGTTGGTTGTTGGTTGGTCGGAGATGTATAGGTTGAATAAGAGTGGGGCTACTACGGCGCCTTGGGGAACTCCAGCGTGGATGGGATTTATTTCAGATAAGGCTGAACCAGAGCGTACAGCAAAGTTCCTGTCTTCGAGGTATGATTTGAATAATAGATAGTAGTAGGGAGGGAATATGGATTTCAGTTTGAAAAGGAGGCCTTGGTGCCACACTTTATCAAAGGCCTGGGCCATGTCTAGGAATGCGGCTGTACATATTTGTTTTTTATCCAGAGAGAATGAGATTTTGTCTACTAAGCGGTGGATTTGGTGTATGGTGTTATGGTTTGTACGGAAGCCAAATTGATTATTTAGAGTATTTGATTCGATAATTGGAATAATACGTTTTAAGATAAGTTTTTCGAAAATTTTCGAGAAGAGTGGGAGTAAGCTAATAGGTCTATAGGAACTGGGGATATCAGGATGTTTGTTCGGTTTTGGTATCATCACTATTATTGAAAATTTCCATAGAGCAGGGAAGTAAGTTAGTCTTATCATAGAATTGTATATATGAGTTAATAAAAGTATGACTTTTTTGGGTAGTTCGGAAGCTACTTCAGCGGTTATTAGGTCGACGCCTGGGGTTTTCTTTCGAGCAGATTTGTCTATAGTATATTTAACTTCACTTGGTCGTATGTGTTTTGGAGGGAGACTCATTGGCAATGGACAGAGTAGAAAGTGATTTATTTTGTGAATTTGGGTAGTGGATAGAATATCGGCGTGCGGTTTAAATGTAGAGTCCAGATGGTGACGGAATATATTTGATTTTTCTATGTCGTTTATTGCCCATGTTCCATCTGCTTTTCTCAAGGGCGGAACTGGGGGTTGACTACGAAGTATTTTTCTGGTATTTTGCCAAAGTGAATTGTCCCTTGAGGAGAGACCTATTAGATATTTAGTGAAGTTTTCGGATCTAATTTGGGCAAGGTGCCTTTTGAGTTTATTCGTGAGATTATTGAAAACACGTTTGTCGGATGGAAATCTTGTTCTCTGCCAGGTGGCTCGGGCTTTTCATTTTTCCGCTATTAAGGATCTGGTATAGAGGGGGAGGTTTTTGGTGGTGCTTTTAGGAGTGGGAGGGGAAGAACAGGACCATGCCGTTTCTTGTATGGATTTTGTGAGGAAGTTAACTGCTTCGTCAATATCATTGGGGGATTTTAAACTTATGTTGAGGTTTATTTTGTTCTCGAGGGAGGATCTGAAGGTTACCCAGTCTATAGCGCCTTGAGTTAAAGTAGGTTTACTTGGTTTGTTTGGTGGCATAGTGTCGATTGTGAGGAGAACCGATGAGTGGTCAGAGCAGAGGTCATCTAAGTTGGTTACTGTACTGTGAAGATTGTTTGGTATTTTGGTTAAGAATATGTCGAGAATGTCTGGGTTTTTCCTTCGGGAGGTGGGCTAGTATGTTGGCGAGGGCGGAGCATGTATTTTGTAGTTTCGAAATTGCGCTAGGGTGTTAATGGTATTTCCGCGAGGGTTATTTGCGCGGCAGCCCCATTGTGTATTTTTAGCATTTATGTCGCCTCCGAGAATGAATTTTTGGCCAAGAGAGTCGAAGAAGTTTTCATATTGGGTTTTGGTGATTGTGTGGCGTGGCGGGCTGTACACTGCATGGATGTTTATGGGAATATTGTTGAGTGTTGTGCGGATACCACACGACTGCAAGTAATCTGTTTGATATGGTGGCAGGGGATAGAATAGCAAGGATGTTCTTATTATAATAGCAGCTCCTGCGTGAGCAGTGCCATCTGGGTGATTGGTTTTAATAATATTAAAACCTGGGAGATTGAGGTGAGATGAATGCGTAAAATGCGTTTCAGATATTAAGGCGATATCTATTCTATTATTTTGTAGGATTGCTAGTATCTCGTCTCTATGGTTTTTTAGACCATTTGAGTTCCAAGTTAGGATGAGGAGGGATTTTGAAGTTATTTTATTAGTTGGCATTTTTATTGAGGAGACTTGAGATAAGAGTGATGAGAAGGGAGATAAGAGGATTTATGATTGATTTAAATTCTTCTATGAATTTAGAAAAGGATTGTTCGTTATTATTTGTTGGAGTCGGGATGTTATTGGGAGGAGGGTGACCCTCTGTTACATTTGCGTACGTACGTTGATTTGGTAGGTGTTCTTTATTTATTTCTTTATTTATTTATGTGTAGAGTTGAAGTTGAATGGCTGCTGGAGGCTGGGTTTTATACTTGAGATGTTAGGACGTCTTTGGGATAGTTGTTTGTATATGGTGCATCTTCTGTAGTTAGCAGGGTGTGCTCCTTCGCACAGGGCACATTTTGCTGGGAGGTCTGGAGATTTTTCACAGGAAGAAGTGGGATGGTCGTTTCCACATTTGACACACTTTGGGTTGTGAGCGCAATATGTTCTAGTGTGGCCATATGACTGGCAGTTTTGACACTGAGGGATTTGGCCTTTTTTTATGAGGTTCTTCTATTTTTACTTTTGTGTGAAGTAATGTAGTGATGGAGAAGATATCACTGTCGCTTCCTTGTGGATTGAGGTCGGCGAAGAATATAGGGAGTGGAGTTTTTGTTTGGGCGTGTTTAATATTAATCACGTTTCTGACAGAGTGTCCTATCTCTTCAATTGCTGATGCTATGTCAGTTGTTGGGGTGGAGGGGTGAAGATTTCTGATGACTATTCTGAGTGGTTTATCAGCTTGGAGTTGATAGGTGTGAAATTGTGCATTGATTCCTTTTAGAAAGTGGATTAGTTTTCTATAGCTGTCAGGATTATTTGTTTGAATTTTTACGTAATTTGAAGTAGATTTGCACGAGAAGCTAGTTGGACCGATTTCTTCGATGAAGCTGTTCCTTAGTTGAAGAAAGTCAATTACGCCTTTGATAAATATAGGTGGAGGCAACATTTATTTTGGTGTACCGCTTGTGGTATGTGTTTGCGCCGGATTTTGATGGTCAGGCGATTCAATAGTATTAGTGTCATCGGCGATAATAGGTTCCGAGTCATCTTGCGCGAGAGTTGAGTAGCGGTTGGGGGTAACGAATTTCTTTGATTTATTTATGTTTAATGTTGTAGGTGATTGTGGCGGTGAAGTAGATAGTGAGCGCTTTTTCGATTTTACTTTATTATTTTTGTCCGTTGATTTAATGATTTTATTGTCAACAATTTTAATTGGGGATACGGTCCGGTTGTTTATCTGCGGCATAATGACGCTATCTTATCGACAGTCCAAAGGTTACCGAGGGAGCGGTGCCTGCGGCTGGTTGCATAAGTGTCGTAATGTATGAGAGGTGAATAATATTTTTAATATTATTTTAGTGAGAAAATTAAAGTATATTACCCTGCTGGTGGGATGTTGTTGCAGGGTACATCCGAGAATGGTGAGGATTTTTGAGTAGCGTGAGTTCGATACTAGATATAATGTTTTCCGTTTGTATTTGTTAGAGATACGAGGATAACCATCGAGCGTCGGATAAATGCGTGCGCACAGTCGATATCGTTCCGATTTTCTCGATATTGTATCGCGATATCGGAATTTGATCGATATCGATATCGTATCGAATTATATTTTAATATATTAACTTAATAATATAAATTTTAAAGAATAATAGAATTGTATTTTTATCAATATAACATTTTTTAATTTGAAATAATTAATAAGTATATAATCAGCTTAACCTTAATATTTATTAGAGCTCTTAATACACGTGAATTCACGGAATTCACGTGTCATGTGTCACGTGTAAAATTCAAAATAAAAACGTATATCCTTAACTTAATACTGTACTAATAATATTTTATTAAAACTTCAAGTGTATAACATAAAATTACTAATTTTCATCATAATAAAAATGGATTTATACTTGGATAAACACGTATTTCACGTGTACACGTGAATTCCGTGACACGTGTTTTAAGAGCTCTAATATTTATATCTAATTGAACGATTTCAATTTATTAATAATAACGTAAAACACAAAAATGTGAGACTATAAATGGATATTAATATATTATACCTTGCAAGCTTTCCAACTTCTATCTTTTGGAATTTTTCCTTTTTTGGTTTGTAAAACCATAACTGCAGCAACAACATTTATTACAGCTAAAGGAGGTGATCCAAATGATTTCAGTTCTGTTAAATTATTCTAAAACAGTTCATTAAAAATATTAAATTCAAAAATAAAATTCTACAGTACTGTGGAATTGTATATTTTTATTCCAGATCAAAAAGTGTAGAATATAGAGTAAAGATATATAGAATATACTATATGTATTATATAGGTACCTTATATACAAAGTATCAGATATTGACTGTAGGCATTAAAATAATCCTTATTCAGGAACTTTATTCATAAAAATGGTTTAATAAAATTATATTTGTATGTATGCTTAGGGAGTTTATGATATGAGGTATGGTTGTAAAAACCATCACACTCCATAATACGAGCAAAACTATCATCAGGGGTAACAGGACCATTTTTATCCCTACCACAGTCTAGAAAAATTTATAGGGGCCCCCTTAAAGTTCAAATTTATTAAAAATATTTGGTGTTACCCATAAGAGATTATTAATCTACATTTTAAGTTATACTATTTCGATAAAGTTATAACTGTAATTAATTATGGTTATTGCCAAAGCGTGAACAAAAACATAATTTTATCTAAATTTACTTAGAAATTCGGTATCACAAGTATCGAGTCACCAACATCCAAGTTCTTATTTTCTATGGCTATTTATAATTATCTAAGAATACATTTAATTTTTACATTTTAGTTAAATGTTGAAACTGGCAATACATTTCTGAGAAGTTATTAAAAATTAAATTCATTCCATCGATACACTTAAATGACCATGATTGATTGAAGTTTCGAAAATTATACTTACAAACAATTTACAAACTTGATGTATATTTTTATCATAAACGTATATTATTGAGATGAATGAAGCCCCCCCCCCCCCCCCATTAATTTGCCACAGGATCTACTAATCCTTAGGACGGTTCTGAATAAGAGTATATATAATTATTTTATATAATTCTCAATAAAATCATTTAAACATCTGATTAAAAATATTTTACAATTTCACATATTTGGATGTTATTATCTAAAATAGAATGTATGTACTTTATCTAATATATCTAAAGCAGCTTGTGCTGCTATCAAAGCTGGTTCTGCTTTTTCTAGATCTTCTGCGCACAATCGTTGTTTCATACTAACATCTTCTTCGATCAATTTTACTTTTTCTTCTTCTTCAGCAGCTATAAAAAATAATTAGGCTGTTTTAAATGATCAAGAGTAAAATAACTTTGAGATATTGTAAATACCTTTGTCTTTTTCATATTTAACTTTTTCCTTTTCTTTTTTGACGATTTTAATTAATTCTTCCGCTTTTGTATTCTTCTTGGTTAATTCGATTTCTTGTTCATCCAATTCAATTTTTAATACGTCAACCTAAAAAAAAAAAAAATTATGACCGCTTAAACTGATAATGCTAAGTTCACTAAGTTAGTGAACTAACCTTATGAGTTAACATAACACTAAGTTAACTTTTAACATTACAGTAATTTTTATTTATTTTTGGCTTACTTGAGCTGCGCAAGATATCAACTGTTTAATACCATTTTGAAAACGGTGTATTCCATACTTATTGTCGTTTGTCTTAGATATTAAAAGTTTTACGTAGAGCATAATTTGTTCCAAAAATGATTTTGGTGTCGTATAATTATAACGACGATCATTTGCCAAATACTTTAGTGACATACAATTTACTGAACTATGCACGTGGGCCATAAATAAAGATACAGGTTTCTTTAATTTATCCGAAAGTTCGGTTAAATCTTTTAAAAATCGGTACGATACAGATTCTAACGCCTCTTTCGGCCATTCGTAAAACCAATTAATAGAAGTACAAGTAACTAAGGCCGGAAATCGCCTTGCTCGAACTCTTAAAGTGCTACCAACGGGAGAAAAACACAACACGATTTTGATCAACGTTCTAACTTTGTTGATGAAAAACTGCCAGCAGTTATCCTTAGTTTCCAGTAAACCGGTCGCTTTTACCTAGAATTTAAATGATTATAAATGCAACTGATCTGATCTCCAATTACGCATCTGTAATGTATACTTCTGGTCCGATAGTTTGTATAATATGATCAATTTCATCATCGGCAAATAGTTCCGGTATTTGACCGCTGGCTAGCATATCGTTAATAAGCACAAGAAACTTCTCATCGGACACCTGAGAGTCGGTCATTAAAAGCATAATGCCGATATTCTTCAATCCGGCTTTTAAGTATAATGTGGCTAGATCTGCTTTTAAGTCGGTTATGCCGTACGTAGATCTCAGTTGCACTTGGAACGGTTCCAGGGTGGATATGAACGCCGCGAGTCGAGCTAACGACTGTTTTCCGCTCCCTCCAACTCCAATGAGCAAAGCGTTACCCCTGGGAAGTTCAAGTATACGGTTGATCCGGCAAACATGAGCCATAGCATCCTCAAATAGCACCATGTTCATGGCTCCCACCAGTTCATTATACGAAGCCATAGCGTCATTCAACAATTTTTGTAGTACAGACCACGACCGGACATTCATGTATTTTTGATCACCAATACCTTCCGCAAAATGTGAAAATATCAGCGGTTTTATCAAATACTCGTTTTCTGGGACGTCCTGTATAAAAATTAATATTGATAAAATGTTCAAATACCATTAAAAAATTAATATTTATATATAAATAAAATAAATCAAAGTTGACAAAATAATTTATTTTTATAGTAAATCTTAGATAATATACACTAAATAATTAATACTTATTAATAGGGAACGACTTTATATATAATAAAAATACAGAAATATGTAAGTATAAATATGTGCTAAAAACATCCAAATATGTAGGAAAAAAATTAAATTAAAAAAAAAAAATTATAATTATTAAATTATCAAAATGATTTGTTGCACTGAATTATTACAATATTTTTTAAATTATCAAATGTTAAATGTTGCCTATTAGATCTGAAAATATTTTGAAAACGGCTAAATGATCGTTCCACATCAACCTACATCGGTTGATTGAAGCATATTTGAAGCGCATATAATAAGTTATTATATTTATATATAGTATATACAATGGAATTAATTGTTTAAAAGAAAATGTATATCTTGGTTAGTTAAAAACTAAGTTCAGAGGTTCCTTTGAACTTTGAATTATCAAGAATACGTTGTGTTATTAATTTAATTTTAAAATATTTGATTGATTATATTTATAAATACCAAGCGCATAATATAGTGTCAAAATAAAAAATTTGAAATAGTACAATATTTTTTTATCTTACCTCAATTACCAAGTTCTGCGTGAAAAAAAGTTTTAAATATTTTTATTATAATTGAATTATCTTGAAAAAATAAAACACAAATCTACGATTAATTCAAAGTACTCACACTAAAAGTTTTTTTTAATTTGTTCATTAATAGTTTTTGAAAACGATTCTTGATCTTTTTTTTCGATTAATTTGTCACCATATATCCTACTAGTCTCATGTAGCCAGAGGCGAATGAAAGAACTAGTTGATGTTACACATTCACCATTGGCAAACATCATCCCCTTAATATCATAATAATTATTATGATTATTCTAATATTTTTCTTCAAAGATTTTTTATTAACTTTGTCATTATACGACAAATTTTTACCTGAAAAACATTGCTCATGTCTCTAAGATTAAATGTGTAATGAAACTTAATGGCAGTTGGCAAAAATACTGTTTGCACTTTGTCATGAAAATTAATTGCCAACTGCACAATAAAATTTGCCAATTTTATTACTGTGTTATTAAATCTATTAATCGGATTTTTTAAATGTTGAGTTAAAATTGAAGAATAAATTGTGTTCAGTGCTTCATGAGATGGAAATCTAAAAATAAATCATGAAATAAATCATGAGTAATATAAAAAATATTTGAAACTGACTAACCCCAAAGCAAACACGTAAAAGTGCCTCTGCAATCGAGAGTCTATTGTAAAACTTCCAGCAGTTGGATTCATACTCGAAACGAACATCACATTTTGTATTTCTTTTAAAGACAACCTTGATCGATCATACCAATGTTTATAATCCATATATTGTCTAATAAGAGTATGGGGCTGTACGGTACCATATGAATCGACCTATGCATGAAAAAATAACATGATTTCCTGGATTGATAACAAATACAATAATCAAACATTTTATTTTATTCATTAATATAAACGCCATAATGCTTAACTACAGTAGTATAATTAAAATAAATATAGGCATAATTTTAAAAGTAAAATTTATGAATACTAAATATTTACTAATAATTAACATTAAAACTAAATATAATAAATTAATATAAGCTATGTGTAACTGATTATTAAAAGAAAAAAATCCAAACAGGATTCACTTTCCTACTTCAAAATTCTTTCGAAGGGTTTATTTTGACTATAATTAATTCAATGGGTTTTGAAGTGAAAATAAGGGAATGTACTGGAGTTATATTATGGTATATGGAAAGGAATACGATATAGTAAAGGGGAAAATGTTATTAAGCCATTTAATTATTTAGAAAGAAAGATAATGTCTACATGTTTTCTATGATAAGTACAGATTTGAGATTGAGACGGTTAAAAATATAATTTAAGGTATTAAAGTTCTTATGATTAGTGCTTTTGTCTAGCAAAAAGAAATAGGATAATGGAACATAAGTCCATTTTTAAAAATATGAACCATAAACAGTTGATAGAAATATTTTGGGCAACTATAAAATGTACCATCTACAAATATTTTATCACTAGAGCATAGCAATTTTAAATTGGAATTTGTAAAGTAGATTAAAATATTATTTACTAGGCACATTGGCCTCGAAGAAACTATAATAATAGTAAGGTCGGTAGGTATTAAATAAAAAGATATCAACACTATCGCAAATTCTTTTTGTTAATAATGAAATATAAATCATAAATCATTTTTTTTTTTTAAAGGTACAGTGTACACATTTTAATACTATACCTATATATTAAAATTAACTCTTAAAGTAATTTCTTTTTTACATAATTAGGTTTTTTTTTCGTAACTTCACTAGTTTCCCAATTCTGTCGATTAAAATATTGTCATACTATATTTTTAATTTCTAAAATATTATCAGGCCATTTAATCTATTATTGTAACGGGCCACCGGGATTTGTCCCGGTGTCCCGCCAGGCCAGTCCACCCCTGGGCACAAGTATAGGAAATATATAAATTTATATCACCTGATGCATTTCAACGGTCACGTATTTTCAAATAACGTAATAATTTGTCTTTTGTATTGAATGATTTCAGTATCAATCCAAAAAAATTTGTAATCAGGTTTATGATATAAATTACGTTTAGCTTAGAGAATTTGTAGAACGTTATTGGCTGAGTTGAGTTCACCCAGAAAAACCTAAGCTTATTAGATATTTTGTTCAAGCGACACACAGATTTAATAGAAAAAGTCAAACTTAAATTAGAAAGTGTATTATTAATCAATGGTTTCATCATCCTGTTCGTTTACATTCAAAATAATAACATTACGACACTTAGAATCTTGATATTTTAGTTCCTGTGTAGTATCCAAGTTAGATTGAACTAGTAACGAAGCATATATCATTATTGCAACTTTTACTATGCAAAGTATTAATTTAATTTTTAGGTTAATACTTTATTTTTTCAGTAATACAATATCCGAAAAGATCAATTCTAATTTAATCTGGATAACTGAGAATGCATTATCTTGAATTAGTAATTTAGATTTTACTGACTGGATTTAATAATGAATGGATTTGAGTGAGGACATAATATCCTTTAAAGAAACTTCATATGTATTAATTTTACCTTTAAGATTTGAAGACTAATTTGATTTGGCTAAAGGTAATCGAGATATTGTAAACGTGTAGATACAATTGAGATAAAATAATAAAATAAAATTGTATTGGATTTTACAAGTTAATTGTATTAAATGAACTTAATTTAATATCTAATATAATGCTTTAAACACTTTTCACGTTTACTTACATTTTAGAAAACTGTCAATAATGATTATAAAATTAAACTAATTTTTTATATTATATTGTAACTTACTTCAGGCATATTTATATCATCAATAAAATATATTAATGTTTTGCCACCAGGTGGCCCATAGTTTCTCCCAGCTTTTTTCTCTAATGGCTTTTCTAAAATCTTTTGTAACATTTCTGTTAACAATTAGTTAATCAATAAATTAATATGTTATTTGAGTTTATAACATAAATAAGTAAATTTTTAAATATATTTTGATATTAAAATGTTTATTTTTTTATATTTAGTGATAATAATTGCTAATACATAGTTAAATAATTATCGACATAAAAATATATAAATATAATTCTAAAGAACACTTTTAATCTAAAATAATAATATTAATAATATAAATTTAATTTATTGAATTTGAGTTTTTATTATTCAAGTAAGTACCTGATGTTGTGTAGAAATTAAGTGGTACACTTGCAATAGAATACAAATCATTCGGAAGAGATTTGAGTTTTTCATTTATTATGACAGATTTTCCAGTACCAGCACTTCCAACAAACATAATAGCCATTTTCTTATCAACTAACAAGTCAAGAAAATATCTTAATCGAGTAGTTTCTACTGTGTTTACAAGGGTTTGCTATATAAACAATAAAACATAAATATTGCTATTTAATAGAAACTTGTTGCAGCAAGAAATATGCATAATGGATTCACATGTCAAATATGTTTTCATCTCAGGTACAAATTAAATATTAATTGTAAAATGTAAATTAAAGAATAGTGTTAAGGTGAAGCAATAATAAATGTTAAGTAATTTAAACTAAAATATTTTCCTTACTTATTTTCTGACATACATTGTTTGAAAAAAATATATCTAAATGCAATGATGTTAAAATTACTTGTAGAGGTATGTCTGGATTGAGCTCGAACGGCAGTACCAGTTCTGACCACTGATGGAACATTTTAGATTTTGAATCGATGAAGTAATTGAACACAGACCCAGGTGACGGTATTTTAATCGTTTTGAACTCAGTCGTCCACCATTTAGAAAATTCAATTCTCCAGTCAATGACCTATGTTCATTAAACATTACTTATACGCAGAACGATAGCGAGAGCTTAACAAAATTGGTCCATGCCAGGGGCGCAAAGAAGAAAGAAGTGAAAAAAAAATTAAATTTTAATTGAAGAAAGCTTTTTCGATTATATTCACTCAAAAGAGAAAACGGTTACTGGATTGATAAGTGAAATATTGATAAGTGAAATATTGAATAAATTATTAATATTAATATTAATTAAATTAATATTAAATAAATTAGAAAGAGATGGCATAGAACTAGAAAAATTGTAGAGCACAATAATATGATAACGCAACCAATATGGAAAATATAATGGTATACAAGCAGTTATGTGTTAAAAAAATGAATTAGCCATATTTATCCTTTGTACTACTCGTATATATAGTTTAAATAGAATTTGAGTTAACGTAGCAGAAATATCTCTTACAAAGATTTTATTTCTTGGAATTATTTAAAGTGTTTAATTTTTTTCTAGTTCTTTTTCGAGTTGGAAAAAATTAACTACGGTGATGAAAATCACATTAAAATCTCAATAAATACTTGTTAGTCATAAAAAAAAAACCGTGCTACTTCTACAATTATTTCAACATACATACATATAACAAAATCTTATGAAATTTTGAAATGTATGTTAAATTATGAATCCCTAAGTATAGACTCAATCAAAGAAGCTAAATGTCTTCTCCATTTTTTTAACTTCATAATGTTTATCTTGTTGAAAATTTGAGTTTTAATAATAATACAAAATGATTTAATGAACTGTTCCTTGCAATCAAAAAATCAAATAATATCTATATTGATACATTGATAATAGGTATAGTTTCAACTATATTAAAAGGATTATTATTTTTGATAGGTAATAAACATAAAAAATAATGGATTTAAAATCTCTATAGTTAAAGCAAAAGAAACAGCTTCATCTTTAAATGAACCTGCACAATTAAAAAAAAATTTTAGAATATTTAAATGGAACTGATTCGTATGCAGAATTAGAATAATTTAATCATTAAACTCATAACTTGATAGACAATTTTAAATCCTTTAGAGATACTAAAATGAATTTGTAATTATTCATTAAAAAATATTTATACTAATATTGTTATACAACTCAGAATTATTTTGAACAATACTGGTAACAACTACAACAAGTGAAATAAGTTTCAATAAATTGAAAAAAATTAAATGCTATCTAAGTCATTCAATTACACAAGAAAAATTAACAAATATGGAAATACTATCTATTAAACGTGAGTTGGCTTGAAAAATCAATTTTGAAAATGTAATTGATAAATTCGCAACAAAAAAGCTCGAAAAATAAAGTGTTGAAACTATGTAAAGGGTATCCGGCCAAAATAACAAAACAATAACCACGAATGTAAAATTCACGAATTAATAATGGCGAAAATAAAAACAATAAAATAAATAAAAACAAATCTTCAAAAGCAGAAATGTATGAAATAGCGAGGGGCACTGATGAACCTTGCAAGAACTCTGGTTAGGGTATGAATACAATGGAATTATAATCCATCGAGTTTATACTATGTATCATTGACAGAATATAATTAGGTAACGATAAGGTAAAACGACATACCTGATCTTGAAACGTCGCAGAACCGAAAGCCCATATACATGCGAACACAAAATACATCTCGTACACTTCCCTGGAGGTTTCTGAAGGACAGTTGGTTGGAGTCAGAAGGCACTCAAGTAAAGTACACAACATATGTATGTGCGTTATCTCCGGTACGGGCGTTATAATTTTGAATTTAGTTTTTAGCGCCTCTATGCAGACGGATACGTACTTCTCGAACAGTACCACGAGAGCGGCCTTTTCGGTCGCATTTTTTCTCGTATCGATCCAACTGGCCACATACGGGTTCCAACCAAGATCCGTTGGATTTATATAAAGGATACCGGCACGGGAAACGGTGGCAGGAGTGGCCGATCGCAAATTAGATATTTCGAACAGTAGGCGCATGGACGGTGTCAGTGCAATACGTTCATTGCTCGCCAAAGTCAGTACCTGCAGCATATGATCGTTTTATATCATAAGTTATGTAATTATTATCTATATCAAGTCGAAATCTCATATTCATAATAATCCACGTGCCTTGTTATCGTCCATGACCGTGTTTAAAGATTCTATCCACATCGGATCAATATCGCCATCCATCACCATCCATTTTGCCCCATTGCCGGGCATTTGAGCTTGTTCTCTTATCAGACACGAAAATAATCCTAGCCGATAAAAACAAGTGATCACACACGTTCATTACAACGAAAATTGTCCAAACTGTACCATCCACCCATTCCCTGGTAGCCGGACTAATAACGCCAAACAACTCGTCGTTGGTGACTGCTTTTGGTTCGATATCGTTGTAGTAAGGTTTCAATTTCAGGTTTGAATAAGTTCTGTACAATGTTTTCCATACCTCAGACTTACCCGTGCCCGCCGAGCCAATTATAAAAACAGAATGTCGTACTTCTAATAACTCCACCAATTGTATAACCTGTGTTGATCAAACGAACATTTCGACAACTTATAACGATCTGCTCTGGATACTAATAATAATAATACTTACTTTGAGAATAAAGTTTTCCTCCGGTTGAAGTTTTAGGTCGAGCGTAGCTTGTCGAATTTGCTTTTCAAATTCAAAGTCACGTTTTCGAGGTACATCAAGTGTAGGGAACAAATCACCGATAAGTCCCATGAATATATTGGTATCTTCAGTGACAATTTTTGGAGTATTAAAATCTCTAAGAGCTCGCATTAAAACTTGATCTTCCGGACGATTTCTATCGGCCCTCTATAATTAAAATCAGGAAATATTAAGATATTTAATTTAAAAATATCTATGCGTATTGTATTTTATACATACATAGTTGAACTTATTAATTTGATTTTTTAAACATTTAAAAAGTAATGTTATTGAATAAATTATTAATTATAATGTATTTTTACTTTTAACGATCCTGCAACCACCAATAGTGATTTAATAGCACGAAGACCCCAATCATAATGATCTTGTTTTGATAACAATTCTTTGCAAAGTGAGTATAACGTTAAGAATTTTCTAGCAAGTATCCTCGCGTTTTGAAATCCTTCAGCTATCAAGTTTATTTCACAAATCAATTCGAAATCTGGTACCACCATGGCACAAGGCCTATAAAAATTTAAAAATAAATACAACTTTATATTCGTTGGACAGTAATTTAAGTAAACATTCTATAGCCATATTAGAATTTAAGAGAAAAGCCGGGGCGTTCTTGAGGGGGATACGAATGAGGTAGTTGTCCCGGGCATCACCCATTTTCGCCAAAAAAATTAATTCGTTTTGGGAAAAGCTCATTTGCGCCAAATTCACCTGCGTAAACATTTCACATTAACTCCTCATATACAGTGAAACCTCGATTATCCGAATATTATTTCGTTCCGAAATAATTATAATAAAAATATTATAATATATTTATTTATATATTTATTTTTCTCAAATAATAACTAAATAATAATAATAGTAATTTGTTTTTATTTTATTTATTAGCAATAAACGCCTATGTTGGCTCAAGTACAGTAGGTAATATCTATTACATATGCGTGTCCAGACTTTTTTCACAGAGTGTGCAACCCTAACCACAATAATTCTTACTAACTCAATAAGGTTATCTGAGTATAGTATAACTGGTCTTTCATTAAAGTAAATGAGTATACTCAGAGATTATACGAAAAAAAAACAATTCTAGGACTTTTTCTAAAAGACCTTTTAAATACAGTGGAACCTCGATAAGTCGAAATTCAAGGGAAATGCAATTTTTTTCGACTTATCGAGGTTTCGACTTACTAAGGTTTTCGAGTTATCAAGGTTTTAGAAAAAAAATTCGACTTAAAGAGTTTTTAAAATGTATGTATGTATTAAAGTTTTTAAGTAGCAACTGGCAATCAGTGCCGGCGCTAGATATTGCGGGGCCTTGGAAATTAGCCTTTAGGATATAAAATGTCAATGTGTCTCACGGTATTAAAATGATAATTTAAAATTACAGGGACCCTTTGACAAGCGTGGGGCCCTGGAAAAATATTCTATTTGTCCTCCCCTAGCGCCGACACTACTGGCAATACCGATACAAATGAAAAATATTGTTGTGTGCCGAGATTGTATTAATCAATGTTGATACATACGATAATAAACACAATAAATGCGATTAGAAAAAAAAATCATCGGTACGTTTAGACAAATGTTTATAAAGCTATCCGTCATTATCCGTCTATATTCGGAGCACAATATGTTCGAGTTATCTATAGTTTTTTTTTTTGAGTAATCGAGATTTGCGCAAGGGAACAGAATTTTTTTCGACTTATCAAGGTTCTACTGTATATCCATTTTACTATCTTAACGCATCCGACGAGATATTTCATCTTGACAACCATTAAATGTTTAATCGTTATAGTAATGTAGGTAAATAATTACAGGATATCCTTATTATTATATTCATATACATTAATAGATAATTATGCGGATTCACGTTGGTTTTGCAAAAAGTTGGTATGGGTTTGCGGCAGTGGCCACTTCATCTCGCAGGGAGTGCAAATGCATATCCTGCCACCCCCATGGACAAGCGTATGATTTCTTATCATAACATTGGCACAATATGAAATCAATATACATAATACAATATATGATTAGCAAACAACAATTATTAAATTACATTTAAGTGAATTCGAAATATTTTCGGGGAGCATATCCGATGAGGAACGCACAATCCAACATAGTATGATGATAATCAAATAGATATTATGTCCGATAGTATAACGGTGTTTAATATGGTGATAAACATTGATACTTGCGCGAGTTACGTGAATTAATGCAACTGATACACAAAACACATTTGACAGAAATAATGGTTTCCGGTGGATGGTTCATGACGCGAGGTCATGTTTTTCAAGTCGCGGAACTTATACACAGACGGACTCGGTGAGAGTCAGACTTTCTTGCGACCGTTCCAGGTCCTCCTCCTATGATGGGGAACCGGGTGTCGTGATGACGGTGCGACCCGCGGACTGGAGGTTGATTGGAAAAGATAAACGCAGCCGTCGACGGCCGTTGTGATAACGGTCACCGCGCAGTCCACGTCAGAATGCAAATTAATTTTTTTAGCTAACTGAAAAACAGATTTCTAAATACAACATTTTAAATATGTACTAAGGAATACAATTTTGAAAATTTTGAAAACCTGGTTCCAAGTAGTTCCTAATTAGTTCCAAAATATTGGTGAAGGTTTGAAGTTGATAGGTCAAAGTGGATAGAGGGCAACTTCATGGACGTATTTTATAGGATGTAATTCATAGATACGAAGATCGATTCTCGATAAATGATATTCTCCTTTGCATTTTTTTTTTTTTTTTTTAAGAAAATGTTTTCGTATTAAATCATCGTGAACATCATCAAAATAACTCGCATTGCAATACTACATGTTCCAATGAAATATTGAGATGTGATTATGTAATTTTTATGTTCCATGTATATTACTAGAATACATTGGATTTACATTGTAATGAAATAATACATAAATGTTTCAAATAATGTGATTATAATGTTTTTTGGGTAGTAGTAAAAATAGGGCATAAGTGTTGCATCAATATTTTTTTTAACTCTATGCAACTCGCTTCGCAATGTCACATGTTTTCCGGTAAAATATTACATTGATACAACAATTATTATAATTATAACATTGATACAACAATTCATTGCACAGTAGGATGCGATAAAATTGTGCTGAATTAATTGTTCAAAATTTGATTTTCAAATGCAATATTATCAGCTAAAGCTTTAGATTTATCATATCCGATAATATAGCAGGATTTACGTTCGACCATTTAATACCAAGTAATTTAAAATCACTTACTATTATAAACGTGCATTTAGGAAAATGTAACCTTAAATTTTCAATCTCTACGCAGTATTGTTTAAATGTATCAACTGTTTAAAGGAATATACATAGTTAAAAGTATAATTTTAAAATTAACAGTTTTAAATGATACGGCTAGACTTTCAAGTGAAAGATTAGTTAAAGTAAGACTAGTAGGGCAAAAATGATTATTTCTAGTTATGAGAACGCCTTCCTCCTCCTTTGACATGAACACTATTTAAATGATTAGGATCATTAAGAAATACTGTAAAGCTAGACATACCTAATTCGTTACTATTAATATCATTTATCAGCCAGATCTCAGATAAAATAAAAAAAAAAACAATTCGGTGCAGGCACAGGTCATAGAAGTGGAACTTCCTCGACAACAGTCATGGTGATATTAAACTATTAATGTACAATCCAGTGGTGTTTTGACAAAAAAACTAGAGAGTATACGCGTATTTAAGGATCTATGACAATGACTATTGTGTATTCATTAGGATCAAGACTTATCAGATTTTATCACTCAAAAGACGCTCGCTCCGCTCGTGAGTATTCAAATCTTTTCTGGATCTCATGGTCACAAGTATAAACTTTAATATATAAAAAAAAAAAAAAAAATGTGAATTAATTTTATCCCATATATAAAAAAAATGTGTATTAATTTTATCCCATATTATTTCTTGATTTATTTAAGTATTTAAAGCTTCTATAGAAAATTCAATAATTGCCCGATTTTAAAGGCAAAAAATATAATATAATATTATTATATTTATTTTTTTATTTACAATTATTGTAAAATAAAAGCATAATAATGTAATAGTCAAATAGGTAACTACAAAGCATATAAAATACATACAATTAACTTTAACAGAATCTATATATAATAAAAAGGAATGAATGACAACGGTTAAAATTGATTATAGTTTATCAGCAATGAATCAACATTGATCACGGGTAACAATAAATTGGAGATGAAAGATGTTTATTTGGAACGCCAGCGCATTCTGTTATCAGGAATCCATTACTACTACAATTCTGGCTCTATTTGAGACATTTTAGGCGTTTCCAATATTTATCATTGCGTGAGCTATCTATGTTTATTTAATCAATGATCACACTATCTAGTATTTTCTTGTATAAAAACGTCATCGGCCGCTTGTAGGTATTATAAATTGATACCTAATGAATATAGTTAGACGATAATCGATGGTTATAAATAATAATCAATTATCAATGTTATTATTAACCTAAGTATCAATAACAAGTTTTCTAAAAATAAACGTATGTCCTATGGATTTTTTTCTATTTATGAAGTATACGAGCGTATACGTGAGTAAACGTGCGTATTGGTGTTACTTTTATGAAGTACATATACGTTAAATCATCATGATAGTTCACGGGTATACGTCGTATACCCGCGTATACCCTTCAAAACACCACTAGTACAATCTACAGTTACTGTCGTAGAGATTTCATTTTTATTATTTGTCTTTGCAGAGAATTATTTAGTAATCAAAATGAGAAGATCTATAAAGAAAGAGAAACAGGGCTGAATTTAGACTTTCGGATGCCCTGGGCAAATCGATTTTTCTAGGCTCTTATCAGTAAGAAATTAACATTATCCATGTAGTAAAGGAAAAATTAAAAATTTGCATACTTGCCCGTTAAAATGACCTGCCTATACTTTTTTATTTCAAGTTTAAAATACCACTGTTTATGCTACACAAATCACATATTTCTGTATGTATAATAATATCACAGTTTAATTAAATGTAATATACAGTAAATACTAAATAGTTAGTAATAGTAAGTAATAAAAAAATTTTTATAAATATGGTAATTTTAAAAGTAATAAGTCTGACTTAAAATAATTATATATACATTTGGTTTTTTTAATGTCACGCACATGAGTGTGTATAGGTATAAAATTAAGGTACGTAACGTAGGCCGCACATCGACGGAAGCCTACATTATTATCAGTGCTGCGTTTGCTATCTCCTACAAAATGTGTGTATTAGTATAAAATGTGACGAATTTTCGTTGCATTCCTGTGTGCCGCGACCTTGAAAATTTACTCGCAGCGCGCGTATAGAAGTTTCACTTCAATAATCATAATGATTTTAGGAAACAAAGTTTTGACGAAAATCGAAAAATTTAGATTTTAAACCATGGACACATTTTGATAATAGCCAGATAATAACCAGATAAGGTATTACAATTTTTACTTAAATTAGAATTTTTATTTACATATGAGAAATTAAAAATATTACGTGATGAGTGAATGAGAGATGTACTTAAGCCATAAATCAGTTTTTTTGAACCAGTTTGGGAGAACCGTGAGAATATTTTATAAACCAGTTACCATCATCAGAACCATTTCTTCTGTTACGTTATTTTTTTAATGCTGATAAACTGGACCTTTGAAAGAAGGTTAAATCCGTTGTAATCCACACATTCTTCCAACGTGGGATGTTTGACAAATGTTTTTTTTGATTTTAATATCGCAAAGACTGATTGAGGAGAATTAAGTACAATTCTAACAGGTTTAGGCTTAATTGATTGTTTACCCAGTCTTACAACTGATGAGATAGAAATATCAAGATGTAACGACTCAATAAGATCAGTTGCAAGCTTCGTCTCATCATTATACAATTCGTCAATGCTAAATACAATTATTATTACGCGACTTATTTTACCTATCTTGAATTTATTTAGCAAAATCTATACCAAAAATGTTATTCCCAACAGCAAGAGAACGAAAAGAATCAACAGACCACTATTGATATCATCAATTTCTTTTTTTTATTTAATGAAGCAATCTCAGCTGAGAAATAATTCATTTTGACTAAAATTGCTATTGAATTATTTTCTTGGGTTAACAATTTAGTATAAATAGCAGTGGTGAAGCACGAGTATTTAAGTTGGGGAGACATTAAAATAATACGTTACACCCCCCCCCCCCATTTATGTATTCATGATAAAAAGGACACGGTATTTTATTTTTTCTTATGAGTAGTTTACTATTCCATCATTCAACATTTCATTAATTAAATCATCAGGCATAGTAGCAAATGACAATGGTACATTATTTTAATATTTAGATACGAATATCACACCAGAAATAAATAAATCGTAAAAAAAAACTAACCAATAACTACGATAGCAAAATTGCGTTGACTGATAACGCATCAACGCGAAAAGCAATGACGATTACAATAATATATATTAAAATTAAATAATAAATACGAACGCGAGACATGTCTCATAGCGTAATAATAATCCCCACTCAATAACATATTTCCCCTGCACACCGTGCCTTCAAAAACGAGACGTTGCAACGCGTCGTCTCATAATATTAATTTTTACATCTGTATTTGTATGTTTATAGAATTAACCACTACGTCACAACGGACGACAGCTCGCGTGCACGGTCCGCAACTAATCTATTTTAAGAATACTAATATGGTATGGTACAAAAGTGAAACTATGATAAATATTGAAGTAAATATTATATAAAAATAAATAAAATATAATAAAACCAAATTATGTATCCGTATTAAAAGTGGGTAGACATTGTCTCATTGTCTCCTATGACGCTTCGCCACTGATTAATAGATTGTATATCATTACGAATAATTTTTAGAGATTTCATAATATCAGCAAATGAATATTCATTTTTATTTCCATTTGAGTTTGTCTTTGGAATAGGAAATTTAGTGTTCATTATAACAATACACGTATGATATAGATTACTAAAAAATAAAACTAAAAATTGTAGTTTGCAATTGATCTGTTGTATAGAATAATCGACTTAATTAGGTACGAGCCGATCGACGTTTATACGATCAGGCGAACGTAAAACGATAGGAAAAACGATTAGAAAAAAATAAACTTATAACATAGATAAAAGAGCGAAACAAACACACACACGTCTATGGTGTGGTCCTTGTTTTTGGAGTTTTGAAATCTTAAACACAGATCCCTTAATTTTGTTTTAATACATATATAAATAAGGTATGTGATCCCCAAGAGTGTTGAATATTTGAATTTGGGGGTAATTTTTTAATTTTTTCCCACTATCTCATAAACTAATATTCTCATGATAAAATTGTATAGAGCTTTTATTATCAATATTTTTTTAATAAAAAATATTCAGGTTGTTCAAGATTACTGAAAGCAATATTCTCGATCCACCAAAGAACCTCTTAAGAAACCGTATATTTAAATTAATAATAAATAAGTATTGTCAATTTTATAAATCATAATTCATTTACTGTTAACGTTTCCTTCTATCATCATTAATATTATTAAAATTACGTAAAGTAATTTAAAAAAATTAAAGTTTGTTCTTTTAAAATGTCATACAAAAAAAAATGTATAGAAAATATAATTTCAAATCAATTTTATAAAAGATTTTTAGTTGTACAATTAATTTATCTATAAGAAAACAGCGAAAACAAAAAAAAAAAATAATAATAATAGTGGCCATAGAACATAATAGATTCAATATCGTTTTATTTGTCAAGATAAAGGTTTCGGTGACATTTTTATAGACATTTCTTATAGGAAATATGTTTATTTAAAATAAAAGTTTTGTACAATTTTTTTGTCATTTTTCGAGATAATGAGAAAAAATTAAACAACTATCTTCGAGTTTAAATATTCAACCCTTTTGGGGCACGTCATAGAGTTAGTCTACCGTGACCGAAATTCACTCACTTCATTTTTATATGTATTAGAACAAATTTAAGGGGTCTCGCATAAAATATTTCGAAAAAAAAATTATATCTCTATTACTAATGGCCACCCTAGTGTACAACGCACTGTACTGTACTGTAATTATGTACTGTACTATACTGTTATGTAATATTAATGATCGATACAATTTTATTTAAATGATAGTCAATTTTAGTCAATTGTACGATTTTTTTAAAAATAATAGTCAATAATACGTATTTATTTCAAATAATAATTTATAATTATTAGTTATACATTTTTTTTTAAAATTATATGCTATAGGTATTAATAGTCAATAGTACGAACATTTTAAAATAATCAATTAAATTAATCATAATAAATAAATTATAATAAAATATAAATAAATATATTATACGTATCACACATCCTAATCTTTATTCTAGTTGAATGCAACTATTCGTATATATTCATAACACGTTATTTTTTTTATTTTAATAGTTTTTAATTGCTTTTAAAGTTTTTTTTAATCTTGTTTTAACTTGTACATTTTTATGAGGGTTAGGTATATTTTTAACGCTACTATTTATTTTAATATAAATATCTGTTTGGATTGTTTTAATTAAAATGTCTAAAAATTTAAAAATATTAAGTTAAGATTTATAAAATTGTTCATTAAAGTAAAAATGAAAAGATTTTCAATTATTAGTGGTTCTAATTAAATCAGCTATAAATCAACTACTGTACATGAACTAACCAAGTTGTTAATATAAAATGTTTACGTAGGTAAATTTGGGGTAAATGGACCGTCAGAAATAACATACTTTTTTTTATTTTAACGCAAATGGACTATATTCAAAAATAATTTATTTATTTTGGTGCAAATAGGTAACTGCCGTTGTCTCCCATCGCCTTTTTTTCATCAAATTCTTGTTATATATTATTAAGTCAATTGATATTTTTTCGATAAGATATTTTTATAAGACTACTGTAGTTTTTAAAAGGAAGGATGATTACCAAATTATTTTAATTTATTACTAAGTGACTTATAAGATAAAACTAACATAAAATACTGGTATATTTTTTATTAGTTATTTTAAAATAACATTTCGCGTATCTATAATTTTTTATTTTGATCTTGTATTATTTTAAATATAGACACAACGCAATGACTTTATATCAATTGCCTAACTGAAAATCGTAGATAAAGAAAGAAAAATTATGGGATGGAAAATAATAATTATGGAAATTATTAATTTTAATATGTACAATAAATACGAGTATATTATAATAAATGTACAATAATCGCGATGGTATAAAAAGAGTATAATTTATAGGTATACATCTATTGCGCCAATCAAAATTCGAGTTAATACATTTTGTGATTACCTCATTGATACATATATTGATGAAAATGCAACTTTTCCTTCGTATCTTTGGTCATCGTGTGACATATCAGGTGTAAGAACAACAAATGCCTGTGAGGCATTTCACTCAGCGTTTGAGAAATATTTTTATTCACCTCACCCAAATATTTTTGTTTTTTATGAAGTTTTAAAAATAATATAACGCAACAATCATAATAGGCATTCTCTTAGTAATCACAAATATACCAAACTCTAAATTTATGATAAAAAAATAAATAGTAAAATAGAAATAACTAATTTTGATATTAGACCTAAAAACATTTCAAAATTTTTAAGATAAGTGTATATATATATATATAAATATATATAGGTATATATGTTTAATATAATAATAGTGTAAATACCAAATATGTAGAATGATAAGTTTCATTTTAATTTTAATTTTTGTTTTTAGCCATTATGATTTTTACTTGCAGTGTAAGTTATTTTACCGGCGCAATAGATGTATACCTTTTAAATATACCCTTTTTATACCGGCGTAATAGATGTTTATTATCTAGGTAGTGTCCCAAATGCGGCGCAATTGACGAATACCGAACGCAATTAAGGAAACTCATAAGGATCTTAAGAGGCAATAATTGGGTTTGTTAAAGAACCGTTACCATCCCTCCAAATATTTAACTTTCTACAGAATATTGCATCTACCTGAACAAGGCTTTAAGATTTTCAGGGAGTTCTGCTCGTCCTGCATATCCGGGGTTCATAGTTATGAACATGCCAATGGTCGGTATTAGATTTACGTTGTCACCCAATAGAAAACATGTATTCTTTTTCGCTTTAATGGAGTCCAATACGGATTTTACTTGAGTCGCAACCACGGATAAAACTTCAACGGATATTCTATTGAACTCATCAAAACATCCCCAAGCACCTGTCTGAGCTAGACCCTTATAAATATTTCCACATGACTGAAAACATGTAATAGTTTTTATATTATTGATTATTTATTATACTATAGTTACTTATTTGAGTAATATTCAAAACTCACCCTATAATCCATTTGTTCCGAACAATTAAAAACGTAGACCATCATTCCTATAGATTTTCCCAAATCTTTGGTTGTTTCTGTTTTGCCGGTACCTGCTGGTCCAGCAGGAGCACCTCCCATAATCAAATGTAACGACTAATGTAAGTAACACAGTTGATGAAAAAAAAAAAAAGAACACGTGTTTAAAAACTAAACTATCGCAATGAAATTTACCTGTGTTAATGTTATATAACATCTGTCAGTCAACGGAGTCACAACCAATCTAGGGGTATTTCCCAGATATTCGTATGAATATCGAAACTCTGCGTCACAAATGTTAGCAAAACAATCTGATTCTTTTAAATCCCACCTTTTCAAGCGAAAACTTATATAAATTTCATGCTCAAAATTAAATATTGGTTACATTTATACTACCTGTGTCTTAATTGTGATTGCCACTGAAATGAAGAAGCCGTTTCAATTTTCTGTTGAATCAATTTAGCCACCACATCTCTGCAATGTACATCGATTGTACAAATTGTGTTTACTTTTTGTCTTTCTCCCTTAGTCAAGTCACCCAATAATAGATCAATAAGTTCGTTTAACTGTACTATCTGGAATCATGTGTGTATTCAATATTTATGTAGTATGTTTATTTATATGTAACTATACGGAATGAAATTTATTGTTTCTACCTGTTTTTTATTGTATTCCTTCAACGCGTTTTCATGACCCAATTCTAAATGAGCAAAGGCTTCGTTGGTCTCACTAGTCCACCAAATTTGAATGCCACATAAAGCTGCCTGAGCCGGATAATCAAATATCCATAGTCTCCTTGGTTTTTCGTCATAAGACCTCACCGCTTTATCAAAATATTTACGTCCTGATGTACGCATTATGTCCGTCAATTTATTTAACCATTTTTCAACCTAAATATTAAACATTGTAAATACATTTTGAAAAACTAAAATTATAGAAAATGATTATTATTCACTTGTCCGGAACATTCACAATTCCCATAAAAGTCAACATATTCACCATCCTTGGCATGCATACCAACCGCTAATTTATCTTTCGAAAACTTCAGTTGTGCTATCGAATCGTACAACTTGATTAAGTGTCTGTAGACATAATTTAATGAACAGTATAAGAGATAAAAATATTTTTGTTCAATTTACTTGCATACGGCCTCTGGATTATTCCCATTTGATAAGATATCTAATAGATCAGTCGACGATATAAAATAAAATCTAGGATATGTCAAACGTTTTGTTTCCAAGTATTGTGCCAGAACTTTTTCACATTTCGATAATTCATCTTGTATGTTAACAAGTTTGTTATATAATCCAGGTTTACTAGTGCCTTTTATGACGTTTGGATTAGCTTCTATATCCGTCAATATCGCCTATTATAATGTAATTAAAACAATTTATAGTCGTGCAACTATATTTTATATATTTTGATATGTATATTATAAATATTATGATCAGTGTTGGGACTTATCTAGATAGATTTTTTGTCATCTTTTATCTTATCTAGATAAATAACGCTAAGTTATCTAATTACTTATCTAAGATAAAATGTTTACTTATCTAGATAATTGTCTGAATTCTTGACAAGATTAGAGTTATTTTTATTCTTGTATGGAGACGAATCCAATAAATTAGAGATCATCAAAATCGGTCTAGCCGTTCTTGATTTATAAATTCTGTAACTAACCCGACTTTTTTTTATATATATATATAGATTTTGTATTCATAATTATAATTTGTGTATTATTAATAAGTAATTATTATTTCTTGGTATAACATTTTGTTTGTATTTTCATGTCGGAAAAATATCTTTGGTATTTTTAAACTTAATTTCTTATTTTTCCATGGAAGTTTCAAATATAGTTATTATTATTATATATATTTTATTTTAGTATACACACGTAACTAATACACTGAATAGTCAATACTTCACTCTTGGAACCCGTAAAGTCGTAACTACTTATAGAATAATAAAAATCATCAAATTGAGATTATATGGAAAATAATATTGTTAACTTAAAATAATCTCTTATGTATTCTGTATTCATCCTGATACTATGCAATTTTCATTTTTTTTTTTTTTGTGTTACATTTTAGTGATTAATTATCATTAAATACTGTACTTTATATATAAATACTGCTTAATGGTACACTACATTACTACAATAAACATTAAACATTTAGGTACCTATTGATAATAATGATTATAATTGTGTCTTCATAGATATTATTACAAATATGAAATATTGACCAACAAATAAAATTTTTTGAAAATATCTTTTTTTTTTTATCTAGATAAAAATGAAATTATCTTTTATCTTTATCTAAATATTTGAAATTTTTTTATCTATTATCTTTATCTAGATGAATTTGGACATATTATCTTTCATCTTTATCTAGATAAATTTTGCATTATCTATTCCCAACACTGATTATGATATATCATATTTTTATTCACCTTAAATTCCTTATCGAGCGTTTCGAATCGTCTTGTGTCCTCTGGTAGTTGTATTCTTATGTCATCAGATCCAATGAATATTGCTTCCAAATAAACCCATGTTCTTTGTACTTCTAACCATATATTTATTACTCTGTCAGCGGTGTTCAATTTCGTTTGCCAATTCGCTACTTCATCGTAAAAATGTCCTACAAATTTTGAGTTCAACATATTTTGTAATTGGACTTGATTGTCTTCTAAAATTTCTATTAGCTCTTCTCTGACTTTAAGTAAATTATATTGTGTTCGGTTATGTGGCAGATACTCAAATTGCATTGTGTTCCAAATTTCAGCAAATTCTTTCAAGGACTTTTCCATATTCATCTCTTTTACGGACTTATCGACAATATTTTTTACATCATCTTCGCATTTGTGTAAGTTAAGTGACACTAAATCATTTAGTGTTGTAGATTTTTCAATAGAAAATTTTACCTATAAAAAAGATTAATTATATAATCTATTATGTATAACAGTGGCGTGTATATTGTAATAACCCGAAAATACAAAAATAAGAATAAAAAAGAAATAGGGAATATAATGGTGAGATGTATGTAGGTGGTATGGTATCTAAAAATATATGTATTATGGGTTGATTACCTTTCTCCTGGTTTAAGGGAGGGCTCTCGGGTTTACAAAGGTTCGAAAGCTGATCAGTGCAAATCGACAGTCTGGCAAGCCAAATAAAATAACACTTACTTGTTTTGTAGCAGGTATTCAAATACCGATGATCTGTGCATTTACAACTATCACAGAAATGTAATGAGTTTGAAATGAAATGGGACAAACACAAGATTTGATGTACTGCAGTTGGACACTTTTCAACACTCACACAGAAAACTCAAATCAAACAAATTAATTATAAAAGTTAAATATTCGTACACGATGGCCACTTGTTGCAGGATACTTCTTTAATAATCTGACGCTCGGTGCTCACGCATTGACGACTTAAAATCAAGAGCCCCCTTCGCACATGTCGGTGGCTTATGAGTAAGATACTCCTTGTGCACGCACTGGCGGTCTATGGACAAGAGCTCTGGGAGAAAGTTGTGTACCCCTATAATATAAAGGAGTATGGCCGAATGCACCTTGGACTGATCGTTTCAAGATGTGACCTACTTATGATGTCAATGGAGTATTGTAGGGTTAAACCTTTATTGTTGGATTTGTGTTGTCCGTGCAGGTATCGAAAGAGCCGTCATTTATTATTTTTTTTTAATGTTTTAAAATCGAATGATGTATATATATATATATGTACAGTGACGTACATACGAGGGGGGAGGGTCTAAGTTCAAACCCCCCCAGGGCCAAAAAAATAAGAAAGAAAATTGTTTTATTATTGATGACGTGTAATATATTCATAGTTTTATTATTACACTTTGAACTTAAAATATACAACTATACAAATATTATGATAATTAAATAATTATATTGACAGGTGTTTGAAAAGTTTTGTTAATCATGCTGTTTTTATATTCTAATAGCTATTAATTTACTGTAATGTAAAAGTAAACTGTAAATTGGTAAAAAAGTTTTATAAAATAATACCTATTTATAGCAGTTATTTATCATATTATCTGTGCAACGAAAAAAAAAAAATAACGATTATTTTTGTTAACCTCCCCCCCCCAGAGCAAGATTGAATGTACGCCACTGTATATATATATATATATATATATATATATATGTAGGTATGTAATATTATTATAAAATATTTGTGCAATATTTTACAGTCGAATGATGCACATCATTACAGTATATACATATATTAGTGGAATAATATGTAATATTAAATTTATTATTTTCGTAATTCGAAATAATACGGGTTTCTTGTATCTTAAAGTAAGTTTAAAAGCTATTAATTATATTTTAAATGAAATGTTTACATCATTCTCTTACTACCATATTATGGTACCTTATAAGTATATATATATATACATATGACTAGGTCTTAGAAATTATTGCATTTGCAACTTTTCTTCTATTGTTTGGATTTATTGCTAAGTAGGTTATCAATTAATTTCATGCAAGTACGAATTAAAATCTAAGCATTTTTAGTGCAAACATATTCTGAAATATTTTGTAAAATAACTCGCATTTATAATATAATAATTAGAGTACGGTTTTTGAAGGCATTTGCCTTTTTTTTCTATTGCTCTAAAACGAAGCTATGTCAGCTACAAATTCGATTTATACTGCTATACTGCTATGCACGACATTTTATTTTGCTTTTTTTTTTTGCTTTTTTTGCGTTTTTTGAATATTTATGCTTTTTTGGGCATTTTTGGTACATTTTTCAAAATGTGTTCTAAATAAACGTATTTGAAAGGTATTTTTTAATTTTTATTTTATTGTAAAATAATGTATTTTCCAATATCGTATATTGTATATGGCTGGCTCAATCGATTTTATCTCGTTATGTTTGATTTATGGGTATGTTTATCGATGTAATTTAGATACGTATATAGCTTATTGAATATAGTAGATTATTTTATCTTAAAACGACAATAAACACAAAAATATGCTTTTGCTCTGGAAATTATCTACTCAGAATTACAGTTTAGTTTTCGTTGCAACACCGTATAGCTCGTTATTCTTACCGATAGTCACTTACAAAATGCCAAAAATTATTAATTGTAGTGCTCGTCTTCGCAATTTTGTAAAAGAATTTGGTGAAGACATTTTTTCTTGTGACAATGCTGTACTTTTTTGCAAAGTATGTGGTGTTAAAGAATCTGCCGAAAAAAAATATAATATTCAACAACATATCGCTAGAGGTAAACATATCCAGCAGCTAAATATTAGAAATCAACAAGAAAAACCAAAATCTCAGCTTCTAGTCACAGGTATGTCAATGAAGTCATCATTCAACGAAGAACTGTGTAATGTTTTTTTGTCCACAAATATCCCTCTCACTAAATTAAATATACCAACATTTCGCGATTTTCTGCATAAACATACAAAACAAATTTTTACTGACGAGTCTACGCTTCGAAAAAACTATATAGATCAATGCTATACAAATACTATTATTAAAATTAGAGATTACGTCAGGAACAAAAATGTATGGGTGTCAATAGATGAGACTACTGACGTTGAGGAGCGATATGTAGCCAATGTTATAATTGGTACATTGGAAGTAGACAATCCTGGAAAAATATTCCTACTTAACTCAGAGGTGTTAGAAAAAGCCAACCACTCTACTATATCTAAATTATTTGACAGATCTCTTTTTATATTATGGCCTGAAGGTATACTTTATGACAACGTTTTACTTTTTGTGTCGGATGCGGCACCATATATGGTAAAATCAGGAAAATCTTTACAAGTTCTTTACTCAAAAATGGTGCATATAACTTGTTTGGCACATGGCCTACACAGAGTGGCAGAACAGATCAGAATAAATTTTCCAGAAATTAATAGTTTAATATCAAATATTAAAAAAGTTTTTTTAAAAGCTCCATACCGTATAAATTTGTTTAAGAATTTGGCTCCGGGTATTCCTCTACCTCCAGAACTAATTATTGCCCCTCGTTGGGGCACTTGGTTAAATGCCGTAAACTATTATTGTGAACATTTTCTACATATCAAAAATGTTATACTTCAATTGGACTCAGATGATGCACTGGCTATTAAAAACGCTAAAAAATTAGTCGAAAACCCAGAAATTGAAAAAAATTTAATCTACATAAAAAGTAATTTTGGATTTTTGGCTACTGAAATTACACGTTTAGAAACATCTGGGATGCTATTATCAGAATCCGTGTGTTATATAGAAAAGGTTAAACAACAAATTAAACAAGCTTTGGGAAAAACGGGAGAAACAGTTACAAAAAAACTTGATGATGTACTAAACAAAAATTCGGGATTTAAAATTCTTACCATAATATCAAATATTCTAAAAGCCGAAAAAGTATCAAGAGAGGAACTTCCTGAAGACTTAACATGTGATGATTTAATCCATTACAAATTTGCTCCTATTACATCTGTTGACGTCGAACGTAGCTTTTCAAAATACAAGCATATATTGTCCGATCGTCGTAGAAAATTTTTATTTGAAAACTTGAAAAAAATTTTGATTGTTCAATGCAACTCCGATGATATAGGTAAAAAAAATCATTTAATAACTGTTATTTAATTTATTTTTTATAAATTATCTTAAATAGAATAAATTCAATTTACAGATTAATAATTGTGGAAGAATGAAAACTCGGAGAAGCAGGGTTTTTAATAAGTTTATTATAATACCTTTTTTTTTTAAATCATTTTAATACTTTTTTTGTGATAAATTTTTTTTAAAAACCTATTTTTAATGCTTTTTTTAAAGCTTTTTGGAAGATTTAGACAGCTTTATTGCTTTTTTTTTTTAGTGCTTTATTTTAGTTTTTTATTGCTTTAAAATCCGTACTCTAATAATAATATAAAAAATACTTGTATAATTTTTTTTTTAAGTGTTTTGATAAATAAAGTAGTTTATTGCAATTTTTAAATGCAACTTTGGGTAATTTTTATTACAATTTATACAATGAATGTTAATGCTTTTCAGTACAATAACTTCCAAGCCCCACTTACGACAATCTAATTATATTTTTAGATATAATAAACCGTTTTAGTTCTGATTCATTCGGAGTCTAAGACTTTTTTTTTTTTTGTTTATCAGCTTATTGAGCTTATTATACATGTCACTGATGTATACGGTACACTATAAAATCAAAATAATACTCAATAAAAATTAAGTTACATTTGTAACTTCCATTAATTCCGCCCAATGACGTTCTTTCATTGCTGGATTTTGAAGTTCAATTAATGCTCTTAAAGAAGTCATCATATCTTTTATCAGGTTTTCAATGTATGTATAAACTGATAAATCACGAATTTCTTTATCCATTACTTAAAATTAATAATAACGAATAAGTACAATTTAGAAGTTAGGAAACCGATTTTGGTGTTTTATTTTTAAAGTACTTACCTTTCAAATCCTTTGAAAATCGTTTTAGTTCCATATCCATAAACTCGGAATCGATGCTTTTCCATAATGTCGATAGCCATACATCTATCCAACTCTTTACCATAAATATAAAATCCCACAACTGTTTAATCAGCCGCAGTGATTTTTTAGTTGATACTAATATATTTGGCTCAGGTTGTGGTATTTCAAATAATACAGCTTGAGCAAGTAGTTTATCATGCACGTTTTCCAATTCCATCAAAGAGCTATTAGCCCTGTCAATTTCTATGTAAGGGTGTTCACAACCAGCACTAAACAAAATAAATAATAAATTCTAACAATATACTAATGTAAAAATTACAATTAACTCTTTAATATTTACTCGAACTGGATCTGTTTTATAAAATTAATTTTGTACAACATTTCACGTACTCCTAACAAAACAATTCTTCCGCTAATTATTGATCCTTCGGTTTGAATAAGTGGAATCACTTGTAATTTGACATTCAGTGCATTTTTCTTGGTTGTGGTCCATTTTTCAGGTAATTCCTACGTAGAAATTAAAAGTAATTAATGTTAGATTTTAAACAAAAATAAATCTTATTTTGAAAATTTTATTATAAAGACAGTTATTAGAAAGGATTTTTGTTTTTAATATTGCAATAGAATTGAAAAATAATGATCAAACCTGCATTAAGATGTGAACATCATCTGGCATATCTACATCGTAGACTTTAAGTAAATTTAATATTTCTGATAATGGCTCGAACATTGAATCATATTCTATTTGACGTTCACGAACTTTAAACAAATGTCCCATAATACTTACAAGGCCTGCGTAGTCTCCCTCTTCTAATGGTTTTAAAATACCTATATCTGTTTCTGCGGTAAAATCTCGTAAGGAGCGTAAACTAAACAATTTAAATTTTCGGTAATAATAAAAATTGATCATAATTAAGGTAATATAATGGTGCTATACCTGACTACCACTTTGTTTACTAAATAAGTTTTAAACAAATCCGACCAACTAGCGATTAAACTTAAAAGATTTTTTTTGAAAGGCATCATATCGATTGTTAACCAACCATCAAATGTAATATTTTCGTCTATTTTTTTGATTTTCGCATAAAGACTATCAAACGAGTCAATCTACAATTTCATATTTATTAAAATATATATATATATATTAATTATTCAAAACTCAATTTATGCATGCACTTTAGCTTGAAAATCAATGAGTTTCGGCGGGGAGGGTGCTATTAATGGGTTTTCTTCTGCGTCCACTTCAAACTGAAGATTCTCTAGTTCTTCTAGCGTGAGATCTCTACCATAAGTTAAAAAATTTTTTAACGCATCGTTTTGGTCAGTAAGCCATACTGAAGAATAGTCTTGATATTGATCAACGTAATCAAGAGCCTGAAATACAACTAAATAAAATAACTACTCTAACAAATCATAATATATTTTAGTGTTTTAACTGAATAAATAATGAATTATATAGTAACACGAGTATTTACTATTAATAAATAGCTGTGCAAAGTAAATAATAAGAACAATAACACTTGTTAAGAATTATAGAATGTGTCATATTTCACATGACCAAATTGTTTTTATTTGTTCATTTATGTATATTTATATAATAAAGGTCAGTAAACAATTACCAGGTGGAAGCATTGCACTAGCAAGTACCACCTGGTCGTCAATTAAATGCAAAAAGTCAGTAAATTATTAAATAACAATAAAAAAAAATATTGGGAATTTAACTTGGCTGTGATATTACATAAACATTAATAATCAAGCAAAAACTAATATTCATGACTTCATCATACCTTTTTAGTCGTTATCTTTACTTGAAGAAGTATGTAATTTACACATTCGACTACCTGCTTATTGTTTTTAATATCTTCCTGAAATAATAAATAAACAAGAGTTTTAATAAAATTCTTTGAAGTCCTTTGATTTATCGATTATTTATATTACATTGTATGGTTGATTATTAGTATTTATTCTTTCTAAGCACGATCCCATGTCAGTTATATCTTCCAGTAAAGAAGAAATTAATCCATACAAATGTGGTTCACTATCAATTTCCAAATTGGGAGAAAAACATGGACCATCGTTATTTAAAAGATATACAACCAAAAATAATGCTGTGGATCCTCTCACATTTTTTATCCCTTCTTCAATATACTTAAGACTAAATAAATATCAAACAAAAAAAGTCCAGTCAAATTTAAATAATGATTTTCAACTAGAAAAATATTAAATTTTTGTTTTATTTTTATGTTACTCTAAACTAACTCAAATTATTGCAAGTATAAGACTATAAAAAAAATACGAGTAGTACTTATATTTCTATATTATTGCGTGGTTATAATTAAAATAGTAGTTTAATTTATTTTTACTACTTACCTGCAGAAAGTTGTATCTTGTAATTCAGTAAAAACTATTTCATCTACATATTGTTTATATTCTTCCCACATAGCCTTTATTTCTTCATTTGATAAGATTATTTGTACTTGTATTTCTATATAATCTTTAAATACTTCGTTATTACTCATTATTTCTTCTGTAGGTATTTCTGCTTTATGATTAAGTTGTTGTTGATCTTCTTCTGAAGCAGCAGCTTCGAAAATTGATTCTCCTAGATCACCATTTATTTTCGTTTCTTTCATCGGAAACATTTTTTTTCTTCAAATATCTTTCTTCTTCTTCATCTCCTTTTTCTATTTCTTGTTCTTCTTGAATAGTTTCAATAACATTCTTGATATAAGATTCTCCTAAAACAGTACATGAGTAATAAAAAAAAGAAAAAAAACATTGTTAAATGGAAAATATTGTGATTATCTATGTAAATAAAAATATGGTGTATGGGTAGATCGATTAAAGTTATTTACCTCGATTTGGATTTGATAAAGGCACGTTATTAAATAACAATATATTTTCCTTGAGTAATTGCATTATTTTTAAACTGGCATTCCTCATATCTGCATACCTTGCCATTTTAATTTCGGTCATCGAATTGCCAAACGTTATACGGTTTAAACTCTTTTCCCGCATATACATTGGAATATTATTCCATTGACTACTCAATGTGATTATTTTTTGGAAATTGTTTTGTATATGCATTATACGTTCGTAAACACTTTTAGTCAGTTCATGAATACCACTTATTGTTTTTTGTATAATTGTAAACGGAGGATGATTTTTATCATCATCTTTGTTGTGCACTATATCTATTTTAAATATACGGAAAAATGATTTTAACATATAAATATTATTTGATTCTTAGGTTGAAAATTGGACAGTGTTAATATTAACCACAATAATATAATTATTAATGTTGAAATGTATAAAAGTTTTTGTTAACACATCCAAAATTGCACCGTCATACAATATTATTTAGAAAACTTTATAATGTAATAATGTAAGATCATCCAACTAAAACTAATGTTATACAATTATTTAAATAATATTCATGGCAGTGTTTGTTAGTAACGTAACAGAAAGTAACGCGTTACTGTAACCCCGTTACTTTTTAGTAATGCGTTACGTAATTTCATTACAATTTTTACTGTGTAATGAAAATGTAATGGAAAATATTTTATAAAAGTAATTTATTTGATGTAACGCATTACAGATTGGTACAAACAATCATAGATTCAATAATACTTATACTAATGTATTCAAAGCTCTGTCCACACTAAGACAACATATTGCAATTTTTTAAGTCGAAGTTTATTAACACAACAAAAGTTGCTATATATTTCCAGAAGTTACTAAATGTTTCATCAATAATTTGTTGCAAGCAACATAAGTTTCCCATAGTTTTGTGTTTTGATTTAAAGCGAAACATATTACCACAACATAATATAAAAACAATATAATTAATTGGTAAACAGGCAACACACAGCTACAAGATTATCAGTGGACTCAGTTCAGTTTCAGTTCACACGTTTTTTTAACGTGTTCCAAGTCACGTGTCACGTTGTTTATCAACTGTTTATTATCAACTCGTTGCTTGGGTGTGGACTAATCACAGAAATATATATTTTACAATTTGTTTATCAATGATTCTATGGTTTTTTATCTAAAATGTATACGCTATGTTTCCTATGCTGTAATTTATTTTAATGTTTTACGGAACAACAGGAAATTTTAGGCAACTTACTTGTTGCTTTCGTGTGCACCGGACTTAATGTATGGAACAATTCAACAAACTTTTCACTAAAAATATATTGGTTCCGTATTTCTCGTATATTTAAAAATATTTAGATAAATATTATATTAATAAATATCTATATATGGAAATTATAAACAGTTATTTGTAATTATATCATAGTGTTATATTTGTAATTTAAATAGCATTTGAACAAGATATCTTTCCAAGTAGGAGCTCTAATGCTATAAAATATAAATAGACATAGGTCAACAACATATTAAAACTGTTTAAAACTATAAAGAATTCTTAAGAATTTCTATAGATAATAATTAATAATAAGTTGTTAAATTTAATAACAAACACAATTAACTAGTTATCATAACTTCAGTTCATTTCTTCGGATTAGGGCATTGTGTAACACACATGTATTATGTTGTATTTTTTTATTTTATATTTTTACGTTTTATTTTTAAAATTTTAAAATAGTTTCACCAAGAAAATATATTTAACCTTCCTAGGTCCCAATAAAATAATTTTTTTTTAAATGTTGTAAGTTGGATTATAAAATACTTATAACAAGAATGGACAATTCAATGTTACTAGAGGGCCAATTTATAGAAAATTAAAATCTAGGGGGCCAAAGCGTAGAAAACAAAAAATTTCATTTCATTTTTTAATATGGGGGGGGGGAAGATTTTTAACCGGCTCATACTACCGGGGAAAATGTCGTTCACACATTTTAACTTATACTTAAGGCACATAATTTATATATATATATATATATATATATATAAATTAATTTAAGCTGTAATTGGATATCTTCTACTTTTTATTTTTGAAAATATATATATCTACTGCGTCGTATAAACTGATTCTTGCAGTAATATCACTTACAGCAGATATAACCAATAAATCACTCAGCCAATAATTTCCCTTTGTCAAGCGTAGATCGGTTTTAATTAATTTAAGGGAAGAAAAAGAACATTCATCGGAAGCAGCTGTTACAGGCAAATTTAAAAGAATATTTATAATTCTAAGAATTCTAGTAAAAGCTTTAGATCCTAAAGTTTAGGAAGTTCATTAAAAATTGTAGAAATTGAAAAAAAGATTATGTATTCTATCGTCTCGTTCTTTATTAGAATAATTTAAGTTAATTAGGTTAATTAATTTAAGTTTTTTGCAGATAAAAATTCAGTTTGAAGTATTAAATTATCAATTTTAAAATAACTATAATGATTAGAGCCCGGATTTATATGCATTTGCATGTTTGTACTAAGTATATGCACGTCTAAGGAGGTTTAAAACGTTCATGATTCATATTACACCGAATTTAAACACCAAATTTTATATTGCGTATTTTGCATACTTCAAGAGTTATTACATATTTGTTCATAAATGCATATTACATGCATATTAAATGGGTTTTTAATAAATTAACCATTTTAATTTACAGTAAATTTTGTAATCGCCTCGAATAGAGCACGAATAGACATGATGGGTATTAAGTTTCAAAATATTATTTTAAAAGGCTTTTATTCTTTTTAAGATTTTTATTAGTTTAGTGAAAGTAGTTAACTTCAAATGATTTAAAATATTTATTTTTATTTTTATTATTGTTTTAAGTTTCCTAAAAATTTAAGATTGATTTAAATGATTTGAAATATAAAGTAGTGGATATTATCATTTTTTTTTTTGTTTTTGATAAAATATTTAGAATTTTATTTGATATAAAGTGCTGTTTTAAAAAAAAAAAAAAAACATATTTTATAAAATATAACATAATGCATATAATTGCATATTTAGCCACTTTTTCTTTGCATCATACTTGACACTTTTTAAATGCATATAAATCCGGACTCTAATAATGATTAAGGAAAGACAATAAATAGGGACTTTTGAAATTAAAATAATCAGTACTGGAAGATAAGAAAATATTGCAAGTAAAAATGATTTCATTGCTAGAATTGTTGAATCGATGGTTAAGTTCATTTAAAAATCTAATATTTTTGTAAAATGCGCATGTGTCTATTTATAGTTTATACTAATAGGCAAATATCAAATTTTGTGGCAGTCAATAATTAATTAATACGTAGTATTTTAAAATTATAAAAATACGCTTGATTTTTTACAAATAACGGCTCATGGCTAAACGACAACGACTGGCCCTTTGGGTTGCTTTTTAATCAGGCAGGGGCAAAAGCCTCCCCAAATGACGCCACTGTAGTGCGGTACAAACAGCTATGATTGAAAGCTATACGAGTACATACATATGACATTTAGACATTTAACGATGTTTAATACCAAATAACAATTATTATATAATAATATGAGTATGGACGATAAACTTTAAAATTATATGATATAATTTGAAAATTAGCACGAACCAGAAAAAAAAGGCTCGCGGGTCGCCAGTTGCCCACCCCTGAGTTATAACATTAAATTAAATATATGTGTTGGAAATTCAAAACCATTATTAACATCCAAGATCAATACATACAATTTAAAAAAGTACATTGCAGTAAGTACTGAATTAATATTATTATTTTTTTAGTATTTTATTTTATACTACGTATTATATTTTTATTTTTTTCAATTTTTTTTTTTTTTTTATTGTTACCTGAGAGTAACATAGTTACTTTTTTTTGTTGATAAGTAAATTTATTCATTACAGTTTTATCTAAGTAACGTAAAATGAAATTATTAGGTACATTTAATTAATGAGTAAGGAGAAAAATAACTAACCCAATACTGGTTAACATCAAAACATCAAAACAATAAAAATTAACATTAGCTATGCACTAAATCAGTGGTTAGTAGAGATCAGCCCGGTTCCGGGTCAACCCGGACCGGACCGGAAAAAGCACGGAACGGGATCGGATTAGGTCCGGTCCGGTCGCATATTGAGATATTCTTGGTTTAGGTGTGTTCGGGCCTGGGAAGTCATATAAAGGGTTAGGTTTGGTTTAATCATAATATATTTTTAATATCACTGGTGTGGTCCAATTCGGTCTTTTGTTATTTTGGTCTGGGTTAAAAATGTTTTTTTTTTCAATTTATTTCTAATTATTTATAAATAGCATGGGTTAAGTTATATTATTTTCGTATTTCTTGAAATTACTTTTTACTATGGTCATTTCACTCTTCATGTATTATCAGTTATTAATATTATTTTCCCTCCAGTCAAGAAATTATAAAAATAAACGTTGTTTACTGTTGAATATACAATATAATACAATATACAAATAATACTGTGAAATGTGAATGTCTAAAATTGTTTTATTTTATTTTTTTCATTCATCAGAGAAGCATCGCCGCATCGGTATTTGATTCATCCATTCCACGAACATAAAAGTAAGCATAAGAATTTAGTAATTATTTATATAGTATATTTATATACCTAGTAGTTATTTCAAGAAATATTTATTTAGCCAATTATTTAGGAAATGACTAAAAAAATATGGAAAATTATTATCTATTCAATTTATTAAAAAAAAAAAAAACAAAAAATAAAAGTTTCAATGAAATTGTCACTTATGAAAATTGTACAATTACTAAAAATCGTTAATTACCGATGAGTTTAATAAACATTTTGCCAAAGTAGTCATTTTGT